TTACGACCGGCGGCAATAATTCACTGTAACGACTCCGATTAAAAACGAAAGGCGAAAGGAGATGAAAGGGAGAGGAAGAGTCGTGGATCTGGCTTTAAATTGTCCCTGTTACGGGATTAAATCGTTTAAGAAATTTGTTCTAGCGTCTACGACCACGTGTGAGAACAAAACGTTGCCAATTAATAGGTATGGGAACGAATTCAACATCCATTCGTTGTTCTGTGTTTCGTTAACAAGAAAAAAATGCTAGAAAAAATATCGTAAGATAAAAACAAAAATTGAAAAGTTCGGTTAATTATTTTTTTGGTTATTCTATATACAAATTTGAAGAATGTAGTTTTGAAAAAAAAGAGTTTAAAATTTTTGGAAATTCGATCTTAAAATTTTCGTGGTTTATTTTCGAAGTGCCCTTTGATTTACGAGAAAGACGAAAAATCGTTTGTTTCTACCCGTTACGAAGGGAAATGATCGAAAAAGAAAATTGAAAAAGAAGTTGCTCGACTGACACTTTGAAACCATTCATTGATTTTTATGCTTATTTCCGTCCAGTTTCGCTCGAGGCGCACGTACGCTATTTTCATCGATAGCACGCGACACTCGAGTGACGGAATTTCACTTTAATTTTTACGAACTTCCCGAGCCGTAAAGATTTTCTCGTAAAAAAAAATCGGAGACAAAATATCGTCCGCTATTTTCTCGGCTTTGGTTACCAGACGAACACTTGCACGTTAAATCTGAATCGCCTCGTGATTTGGTCGGCTGCCAGACTGTCGATGCCTTTTCAGATTTTATTATAGTTTCGCCAAAGTGTCAAAAGTCAATGTGGTCTGCGTCGATGATCATTTCCACCGATTGTTAAATTTCTATTCTAATTTCTTCGTTTTGCAAAACTTTTTCAAAGTTCGCCTCTATCACTGTTCAATTTGTCATATTTTTGTACCTTAAATATTGTTTGCTTTCTGCGATCAAATGTAACGAGGGTTATATCGTTGGATTGATTAACGAGGCTCTACATTAATTAATAAATAATAAAAAGAATCGACGTAAGAAAATTGATTACTGCAATTTAAAGGTGCCTCCTTATACCCTCGAAAATGAAATTCAATCTGAATTGACAATATTTAAAAAAAAAAAATATTAAATACATATAAGTTCCTTCGAAGCAGTTACACGAAAGTCCACCCTTAAAAATTAGAGTAGAAATCTACATTGTGCGACCGTTTACGTAACAGTAAACTGCGCCATTGCTCCCCGGGTTAATATCGAAATATCATAAAGGTTATTGTTTTATTAACGTTATCATTTCGAAGTCACGTGTATGAATAAGTTATTTCTAGGAAATTAAGCTATAAATAGGCATACGTACCGGCTGGAGCCCCGATGAATAATACTTCCGTGTTTTGTAACTGTTAAGTTCCATTTTTCCCCTCTTTGTGTGTTCTCTCACGACCAGTATCATATACATTATTAAGTGCTTATTGATGTCTCTCTAGTTTTCTGGTGTATCGCGATAAAACTTGACTCATCGTATCATTCGATATCTGTCGTATAATAGACAGACTGATACTGCGCCTCTTCATCTATATTCAATGAAAACGAAAAGACGGTGTACACCATTCTCAATATTTTTTATTATTTATTGAGATAAATATTAACCTTTCTCGGTCTGGAATTTATGGCACTGCTTTCCGGACTTACTAGTGAACAACAATAAAGCTTTCTAGCAGTCCCTGCCTTAGAAAACTGGGATATTGGGAAGTCGATCGAGCGCTTGTGAGAGCGTGAGCCCTCTAGTGGCGAGCATAGGAAACAACGCCACAAATTCTTCACCGTTGGTTTAAAAAGAACATTCTGCTCGCTTCTAAAGTCATTTGAAGCAACATACTTTAATTTTAACATTTAAATAACACACTCACAACGCCACATAATATTGCAATTAAAATATTTACCAGACTGATAAAGCGTAGGAAAAATACTTGGGAAAATCTTCTTCCCGGAGGTTACATAACCCTCGAAACCATTCAACTTTTCCCTAAAACATTTTTGGTATCGAATGGTCGTTTAAATTAGTCACCCTGTATGTGTACACGCCCAGCAGGACAAGAATAGAGTTTAATTAAATAGATGGAGCGATATACCCATCCGACGTCTCCTGTTTTGTCTGGGCATGTGTTTATCTAGCGCCAGGTTAAATTTCAAGGTACAGTCGGGACCTCGATAACCCGAACGTCGTTAAACCGACCGTTTATTCGTTTCCCTTCGTAAAACTACGACATCTCGGAAAATAAACAAAAGTTAAATCGAAGCTGCTCAGCGCACACTTGACCTCTACTATTCGAAACACGTGTTGGCGATTTCTAACACGGTCGCAATTTCTTTCTGCTTTTCAATTATACGTTTCTGTTGCCTCGTATTAAATTTCGTTTTGTTAATTCTTGCAGTTTCTTTAGTTTTGAATTTTGAACGTTACTAGATTTATAGTTACGACTGTATTCCGTTTTCTTAGATATCTCCGTAAGATGAAACTTCTGCAACACGAAACGGTTCCTATTACCCTTCAACTTCGACTTATCGAAGTCCAACTGCATATTGTTTGCAAATATATAGCAAATTAGCTGTACAGACATTTCAATGGGAGTGCATAAACAGAAGGTTCGTACGAATTGTTCGAACCATCTGGCCGTTGTTCTTTAACCAGATACGTTTTTGTCTAATTTCTTAACTGTCTTATAATTATGTACTTGCAATATTAATAAAGGCAGAATTCTCGAAGCTTTAGCAAAGTTACTCCAAGGTCACTGTATACCTCATATCTAAAATATGAAAGCAAATTTCATACTCTGTTTCATATATTAATGAAATAAAGCTACATTTTAGTTAAATAATTTTTTATAGGATAAAAGTCCAAATTAGTATCACTTTAAGTTATTTTATTTAAATACCAAATAAATCTAACATAAAGATCGTAAGTGCACTGATAATATATTAATGTCGAATAACAATAAAAATTGAATGAAGACCGGAAGGCTTTGTGAAATTTTTTCAAATGAAAAATATTAGTTCTTTGATAGATACGGCATTAAATTTTAATCGAGTTTCTGTACATCCATATCTGCCATTTAGTCTTCTGTTCCCGTAAAGTAATATCAATTTTAGATAAACTTTTAATTGGAAACACTCGAGGAACGGTTCGGGATTTAACGGATGCGCTCCTAGTAACCACATAATCAGACTTTTGGATTAATGACGATAAAATGCGGGGGCAATAAATATGTTGTCATTGATCAAAGTTTACTCGTTAACGTTGAATCATCAACGAATACTTGCACGCTGCTTTTGAGTGCAGAGAAAGCGACGATACTAATTATTTTGATTACACGGTGTGAAGAGATTATTCATAATTTCAAGAAACTAGCGAAGCCTACGTTTTACAAATTCTTACGACTGGAAATACTAATAAAGGAACGTAGATTTTAATGCCATCCATCATTTTTATTGAATTTAAAAAAAAAAAAAGATATCAGAAATGTATTATGATATTAAGTACATCTTTTTTAAATACATGCCATCTGCCAAACATTTATATCTTGAATTTTATTGACATAAGTTATATTTAGTAGATATCGCATTGTCAATCATCGGGTGCTCTTAATTTAGATTATACATTTCAAACCATATTTAAAAGATGGAATTAAAAAAGAAATTACAAAAATTTTACGCCAGAATCACGTTGCATTAATACAGTATTTATTCATAGAAAAACATGAAAATATATTACAACAGAAAAGAAAATGCAAAATTTCAATGTAGTTATTTTCTAAACAAATAACGTCAGAAAGTATGAAATTTCGCACTTCTGTTCCGTTTTATTCAGTAGCAACGTAAACAGACTCTAGATGTAAACATTTTCGAGAAAATGCTATCTGTATATACGGTACTACGTAAACAAACTCGTAGACGAGTACAGAGTAGTACGATTTGGCATTATTTGTTAAAAATCCGTAGAAATGCGAGTGGTTTTATTTAAATTTTGGGCTTCGTAAAGTCGCTGGTCGGCCCACTGTGCAACGTCTCGTCGTAGTGACGGCACTATGCTCTCGAGCGAGCATGTACCGTTCGAATTCCAAACAGTACGCGATTACCGATTGGTCGAGGCTCCCGGCGCCTTCCAATCGCGATGGCGTACATTCGTGATGTCACGAGGCGATATATAATAACGTGGCGCGCCATCCTCTGGCTCAGACCTCAGTTGGCTTTGAAATGAACGGAACGAGGTAATCCTCGGTGAGTTCTCGCTGCTCGCACGCCCTTCGGGAGTGAGAGAAGCCGGGTGGTGGTTTTTCTTCGCCTCTCTTTGAAGCAGAAAATAAGATAAATTCATCGCGAAGCCTAGTGTCGCGTTTACAACACCAAGGATTATCAAAGCTAGTCATCGGACGCGTCGCCGTTAGTTGTGAGCGTATGATTTAACCCGTGTGCAGCAGGATACAAATTTGTACAAAGTGTCGGTAGAAAGAATAAAGGTGGGCCCTGGAAAGAGAGCCGTTCGAAGGGATCGGTTCAATCATTGCGCGTTTGGTGCTCGTCGACAAAGAACAAGGAATTAAAAAGACGCTTCAAGTCAGATCATTAATTCCTATTAGATACATACGCTTGTGTATCCATAACAAAAGCTTCGCGAAGCCATGATGGAGTAAAGAAGTTTTGACGAAACGAAAAGAGAGAGAATAAAGACTGGCAAATGAGCACAATTGTACGATGAATTCCTTTATTGACTTCACGTAAGAGCGAACGCGTTTTACCTGCAGTGTTTTGGTCATACATATATCCTCTTTTCTCCCAATATATTAGTCGGAACTCTCGACTCGTTCGAGAGTCCCACCGAAAAGCAGAAACATTAATTCGCTGATTAGCGAAAAGCTCTCGAAGCTGTACCTGAAACACGAGACGAAAATGGTTGGAAGTAACGGAACTATGATCGCGATTCGTCTTGTCCGCAGCAAATTGCGGAAACGGGAGGATCATTCGAACACTGTGCACCCGGAACCGACCGTTGTTCAAACGGCAACATCGCCGATCTCCACGATCGTGGCGTCGTCCTATTCCGTTGAAGGTTGTTGCACGCAGATATCAACGACTACAACATCAACGGATCTGGAAAATCACACAGCTGTTGAACAGGATAACGTCTATACCACGACCAATCCGACGGATCAATTCGTCTGGCAGTTTCCGCCTCCTTATCCACCGCCTCACACACCGGCGCAGTATGCGTTGTGCAACGACCAGGTTGGTATATACTGTTTTCTTCTTACTTTTCTACTTCTTCCTTTTTCCCCTTCGAGCTTGTACTCTCGAAGGAAACGAGAACCGTCCGTATCTCCTTTCTGTTCCTTCTTTGCTTCTTGCCAGCTGCACCAACCAGTACAGCCAGTCAGGGCCGGCTCTAACCGTCAGCCAAATAGGCAACGAGTTTACAGGAGAGTGGGGGGAGGGCCACTTTCAATGCATAAACACGAACTTATCGTAAAACACTTATTAACCTTTTCGGTACTGTCAACGGATAAATCCATCGGATAAACGTTGAGGCACTATGGGCTTAGCGTTGGGTTTTTCCGTTTTCGCGTAAACGATGGTACTATAGATAGGTATTATGTTGGATCGAGTGCTGGTACCATGCTGTCAAATATTTCACACACAGGAAAATTATCGATCATACGATACTATTGTTTCTTCTTCGTATGGTTACTCTACGTATATGGTTAATCTTTCAAATGAAATGGTTTTGTAGAACGTTTAAGTGAAATAAATACGAATGTCATAAATGTCATAAAAATAGTTGGGTCAGACGGCCCAAGTTTTTATACTATTAATTGCACAGTACCGAAAAGGTTAACACCTATAATATAGTTGATAAGACTTTTTACTATGGAACTAAAAAAAGCATCTCTCAACCTTGCTGCTGGTTTAACAGGTTGTTGATACGTGATTGTGACGCCAATTTTCTATATCTAAATTGTGGAACAAAGAAAATTTGATAATTCAATGGTGAACTTGTTATTTTACAGCATTCCTAATTAAATTAGTGTTATTTACAATTTTACGCAAGTTCCAAACGCCGGTCACCGGTGACCACCGCGACAGTCAACGTGTCAATGATCGAAACAAATTACGAAAAACTTTGTACCTGTAGACAAAAGACAATGTTTACATATTCATTCCAATTCCACTGTATAACAAATTTTTTCTATATTTCGAAAATTAGATTAATCGACTTTTGTTAAAAAAGTTGCAAAGTTCAAACATAACCTCGTTGAAGTTATTTGTTTGCATGTTTATGAAAAGTCTTTTAATGGGGTTTCGTTTTTGGTTTTATAATACCACTATGTAACATGCAGTTTAATTTAGATTTATACAGTTATTATTACAAGAGCATCTGTTTCTGAGGGTAACAGCTAGCAGAGTAGGTCAACCTGTGTCTATCCTTGACCATAATTATGGACCACTACTGAAAATGCTTAATTTAGAATCGTTACATGATTCTAGAATAGCAACAGTCTTTACATTTTCATTCAAAATTATTAATAGATATATTACATGACCTCTTACGAGAAATAATTAACATGTTGACTGTTACGTCAATTATCTGTTGAAATATTCTTAACATTTATTCAAATCATAGTGTGAAAAGTAGAAATATTTATAAGTTTAATAATATATTCGGTATTTTATAGAGTATTCAATGGCAGTAATATAGTTGTAAAGTTGTAGTTATAAACCCATACATACCAATAAATGCCAATATTAAGTAATAGTAATTCTAGAGAAATGAGAATTTTATTGTTAATATGGAGGGGGCTATTCATCGGTGTTGCTTGGGGCACCGCGTACCTTTGAGCCGGGCTTTAGAGCCAGTATTACTAGATTTCACTGGTTTATCCCTTACCCGCCAAGATATCTTGAGGGCCCTAACGGTCATTGATATTCCATTCAAAAAGTTACCGTACTTTTCATTGTGTAAATACAATGACTAGCATCTACTGTCTTGAAAAGTGCAAACAATGCGATTAACAGCAAAAAGTATTTGCAACATTTGCACGTGTTCAATTGTATCAATATTACGTTTAATATAAAATTTAATTTAATTAATCTATTAAAATACATGCCCCCGTCTGATAAAAATTAATAAATTAGTAATGCAAACTGAAACCTTCGTCGGTTGTTAGTATTTTTTAAATATTTGGAGAGCACAATCGAGTCATTCAACATTAAAGCATATTCATTGGCGGTAATGCATTATACTCGATTACAGTGTATTGGAAACAGTTAATTACAACGAGATATTTTTACTAGTAAATTACATACAAGTTACCCTACTGTAGGATTATGATTAATTAAGTCTGTTAAATATATACTTGTCGTAATCTACTTTGTTTGCTTTCGAATTAGTAATATTTAGTAGAACGGAAACATTCTTTTTATCAGGGATGATAGGCATTCTTAAGAATATGCATGAGTCATTCGTTAATGTATCATACTTCTTTTTCGCAACTGGTTTCTTGCAAAAGTATAGGTTAGAGTCGTAGAATAAACTGAAATATGAAATAAAGGTTTAAAGGATGTTTTCATAAAGCGAATCGATTGTTAAAATTTAATATAATTGGAAACGAGCACAAAAGGTTAGAACTACTCTCGCATTCAATTCCATTAAAAATGATTGATTGAATTTAACTTTTTCCGTTTCTTGAAATTGTAAAACCTAATGAAACGTATGTGCTATACACGATGTATAGTTTGAGAGGGGTAAAACAGATCCAGGATATGGTTCGTGACGATAAGACTTTTTAAAATTGTGGTCAATAATAGTCGATGGCGCTATCGATTCTCCAAGGACGAGGCTTACGGGCAGACGGCCTGGCAAACGAGTTGTAAGGTCGAGGCTCAGTCCCAGGCTCGCCGCCAGAAAAATCCCAAACAATCGGCAACGTTGCCACTTCTACTCTGCTTTGTTGCCGTTATGACACCGTACGTTTCAGTTTCATGCTCCACTTACCGACAGATCTTTACTACTTTCCCATATACCCTCGCTAGTTTTGAACTATTCTCGTTATCAGGGTTCGATTACGCGTGACAGCCAAGAATAGGCGGATCGACCTTCCTATACTTTGCTTCGTCTCATACTTAAATACATTGAAATTATAAATCTTCGCGATGTCACATAATGGAAACCATATTTCCATGCTTGTGATGTAAGACCCCTCGTGGCGTCATTTCTCTCGTGTTCGATTCAGAACGAGCACGAAGAACTTATTATTTCCGGAACCAAGATAAGATTATATTTTTATAATTTTATTCGATATGTTATGCAATTTGTACCACGAAGTATGTAGTAATCGTTCGACGAATTCATCTTTTGTAATACAAATCTCCCGTCTATTTCGTGATGAACGATACAACATCAACGATGTAGACCAGGTTTCGTTTCGTTGCACTTACTGTTGTACTTCGTAACACCTTAATAACTCTTTGTAAGTGTTCGGTTGCCATTCGTTTGCTTTATTGTAGCTAATACGCGGAAAACGACTCAATGTTTGAACTCGTTTCCTCGACCGACGTAACCGCCAACGTCATTCATTACAACTGTTAATTCCACGTACACTACCTATATATCTTTGGGACTTCCCACACAACAGTTCTCGTAACAGGTCCTACGCGTTTATAATCACATTCGCGATTTTATTTGAAAACAAAAGAAAAAACAATCTATCCCAAGATTTTCCTCTTATTTCATTTCTATAATTGACTTTGTTCTTGTCTGGCCGGCCACGTGTCAAGGAAACGTCTCGAATTTGATTTCTTGTAATCCAGCCAGTTGATTTTAACGTCGTTGGCGACCGTTGGTCGGTTACGTCCTTGCGGCGTCGCGACGTTGAATTTTCTGTCCCGACGAATCGTGAATGTTACTATGTTGGGTGTTTTGTACGGATAGACGCACCTAAAAACCCGCTTTTACACCCCTCTGGCGGTTTCTAAATTTAGCGTGGGTGGGCGGTCACGACAGTTTGCCAAACAGCTAGACTTCGTACAGGGTGCAGCTGTCTTATAACCGACAAAATAATGTCTCTCCTTGACGACACAGACAGCATTTGGCATTATTCCTGCAATACTGTTGCCACGATTGGTTAAAACGACCACGATATTTTCATTCTTCGTCTCCCGCGCGAATCTTCGTATCTTTTTCTGTTCACGTGTTGTCTAGCCGTCTGCTGTTCCTATAGTCTTCTCGCATACCCCGCCGTCTCAGTTTCTCCTTCCTTTTGCTCTTCGAGCACAACTTTGTGGCCCCCTGTCGATTGGTTTTGCAACATCGCACCCGGACACACGATACTGTATATCCTGCTTTTTCGGTCGCGGCGGTGCACTTTCCACTGTTTCCATGCTTCGTAGATCACACTATAGTCGCATCGTTACGTACTATATCGAAAGTCGTAATTCTTGCATGACCTTACTGTCATCCGTATGCTCGCGTGACTGTATCGAAGGATTTTTATACTTTATTTCTATTCCTTTTTCGAAGTATACAGAAAACTAAAGCTAAATAAGGGTTATGTTGATACTCGATGAATTTTCAATATTATTGATTAATTTTGACTGTTCACGTTCTATACTTTTTCGAAGTATAACGTTTAAAGTTCCGCCTGTAATGAATTTTTTTCTCGAAAATGCGCAGGATTTCGGGGGTATGTCTATTCACCAAAAATGATTGTAATTGACCTCTCCAACCGAAAATAATTTTTCCAAAACGATTTGAAATTTTTTTTTCAGTCGAAAAATTTCACACCTTCTCGAATTTTTTTCTAGAAAGTGGGTAGGATTTCGGGGTTATGTGTAATGACCAAAAATGATTCTAATTGACCTCTCCAACCGAAAATAATTTTTCCAGAACGATTTGTAATTTTTTTTTCCCGACGAAAAATTTCACACCTCGAATTTTTTTCTAGAAAATGGGTAGGATTTCGGGGGTACGTCTATTCACCAAAAATGATTGTAATTGACCCCCGCAATCGAAAATAATTTTTCCAGAACGATTTGATATTTTTGAATTTAATTGTTAATAACTTTCTAACGAAGCCTCCATCAACAAATTGGTATTCTCGACTTTCGTCTTTTTTCCAAGGGTGACACAAACTGTTGAAAAACCAGTCGCAGGGGCGGTCGTTGAGAAATTGTTCCAAAAGTGGGCCGTACAAATTTCTATACATAAGTGATAATGAATAAAAATTGTATCAACTTCGCTTATTTTTCATTTGTTCTAATTGACTATGTCTGTTGTGTTGCCTCAGGATACCCTTGTACACGCGCTACCGTCGGATAGGCCTGGATTTGCGAAGGGTTTCCGTAAAAATATCGGGGGACGCTGGCGACGCCTGGTAAAACGGAAACCGGAGACGGAGACTTGTGCCATTCCTCCTGAACTGAAGGATCAGTTGAAGACGATCTATGTCTATTGACGATCAGAATCGTCGCGTCGTTGTTTGTTTCTTTACGATCCTTCCATTACTCAGTAATCGATGCTTTCTTGTACGTAAGATAGATATTGTATCGAGGAAGGGGGAGGACATAAGAGTAAGAGTATTTCGAGTAAACAAAATGGTAAACGAATGCAGCGTTCGAGCGATGGGATGTCTTTGCGAGAGAGAGAGAGAGAGAGAGAGAGAAAAAAAAAGAAATATCACAGGATATATTTATTCTATACGATCGACAAAGACGTTAAATTTCAATGGTTACGATTACCTCTTGCGAAACATATCGAAAAAAAGTGCCTAAAGATACCTTCCTGAGAACAAGTCGGACACGTGTGAAAAAAAAATGAAAAACAATTATCTCCTTTTAACACTGTATTTTTGTAAGAATATACTATCGGAGTCACGATGAATACCGGGTCGTAGTTGTATAGGATACAGTGATATAATTATAAAAGTATAGAGAAAAAGGGAATAAATTTGTTACCATACTGTTTACTATAGTTTATCATCGAACGTAACCGAAAGCACCGCGCGTGTTTCCGTTAACGAGACGAAGGAAAAGTTCTATTAAAAAGCTGCTGTCTGCGCGTTACTTCATCGCTCGTGTATGGAAAAAGGGATAGAAGTTATTAAGACTTCGATACGCAGGACGATGTCGTCGAGAACTTCATGAGACTGAAAATGTAAAGTGTACGATAAAACATGAGTTACCTCGTAGCTTTTGTGTACGTTTTTACATGATTAATAGGAGAAATCATTTTCGAATCATTAGTATTAATGTATACCTGAAAATATACGACCGTGTCGGAGCTGCCTTCCTAGGCTTCTGTTCTTCTATGTTTCTCTTCTGGCAGCTTTGTTGCTGTGTAAATAGATGTATAATGTAACGAAGGCGCAAAACTACTTCTAATTCTTATAATGGCCGACCGTTAAAAGTAAATCCCTGAATTTCCTCTGTACGTACAATTTAAAAGCTTTACGAACCGAGAACTAGAAGCGGAAATGCATTTTTTAAGTGGCAAGAGTTTAAACTGTAGGTTTCGATAAATTGTTTAAGAGCCAGCCGTGTTTATCGGCTGAAAGAACGTTGAATTAATACTCATCGAAAGACCGTTCGCCACGAAATGACTAAAGAAGCATTATTTTATTCGATAAAACGATGGTTTTTACCGTAATAGATTTTTAATCCTTTCTATAAATCTGTTATTTTATCTAAGACAATAAAAAATGATATAAAGAGGAACTGAATCAATATAAAACAAAATTAGTATGTGTTTGCTATAGATGACAATTGGGATGTAATTTCATGAATAGAATGAAGAAATCAATTTCTTAATCAAAAAGTTGTTAACGTTAGTGAAAAAGAAACAAAAAAAATATGGTTCCTTTTCTATGGAATAATAAAAATACATTTTCAAGATAATAAATTAATTAATTTGAACGATGCTTTTTTAGCTATTTTATGATAATTGACATTTTAAAACGATCAACAGTATTTATCATTAATTTACTCAAAAGACGGTGTGTATTTCGACGAATGATACAAATTCTTTCCAGCAAATGCAAGACTACTATTGTTACAAAATGGTTTCACGTTAATAGAAATCTCAAAGGAATGCAAATCCACATGTACGAACAGCGACAAATAAAAAACGAAAGAAGGAAGAAATACTCGTGCACGTTAAGTAATTTAAAAACAAGAAACATGTAGTATTAACACTGGACAAACGAGTTTGCCTGGAAGATTTTATCCAAGGATCTTTTGATTCACGACTTGCGCCAACTTTTCAAATTTTCAAATAAAAAACAAGCAACAATCTGGACTTGATGTAAAAGATATTCGTTAAGAAACAATTCGTTGAGACTTCTAATTTGATGTATGCTTCTGGTTCTCTTTTTGTTAGTATTGTTGTATAGGGAAAGACGGAGTCGAAAAAATGCTGATACAAAAAGCTGCGCTCGACCAGAATCGTTTCTTCTCCCTTAAAGTGGAAATGACGTAGCATTTCGTAGGTACTTGTAACATAGGCTAATTTAAGATTGTTAATACTATTTCAACAGCTCATATTGAGCTCGTACTACAGACTAATATGGTATTTTACTTGTATTGTTGTATTAAGCAATACCCGTGTCCTGAAACGTGGCTGAATATTGATCGATCAAATTTTTATGGAACAAATAGATCCTTGTCTGATGTTGAGCCACGTTTTTCTCTCGTAGTAATCTAACTATTTGTGTCTGTATTAAGCGTATATTTTGCACGCGTGGCTTTTACGCAACTGTGGCATGATTGATAATTTATGCAGAGTGAATCAAATGAAAATACTAAAAAGAAGAAAAAAAAAAACAAAACAAAAGAGGCAAAATGTTACCTGTGCATATTGCAACAACTTTTTATCGTACGTGAAAAGATTGTAACAACGTTCCTTCACGGCAGAACCTTTTAACTCTTTATTAGTAGAATGTAAATATTTTATAGCGTCATTTGTTTATCACCAGTATGATGGAATAACGTTTTAGCGCAATACAAATACTTTAAGAATTAATAACGTGCCTACATCCGTGTATAATAAAATGTTTTTATAAACGACGAAATCCAGATGGAATTGTGGAACATATCCATCACCTAGTCACATGATAATAATTGTTCAAAAACTTGTATTGTAAACATTTCGGTGCAGCTTGAATTTTTCCTCGTGAATACGTGTCTGAATACAACAATATCAAATAAAGTATTCAAAAGGATATATTGTATGTGCTCTTATTCCATATCACTCAATGCAGGTATTCTACTGCGAAACGTGTATTTTTAGGTATTCTTTAAGCGAGATACTGGACAACTCTTTTTGTCGGAATTGCTTAACATTAATTAGTATTTATGAAATACGTAGATATTTTTTCAAAGCAGTCGTAATTGACAGTACTGTATACTACACGTTTGAAATGAAAAACGAAAGAAGATTCTTAATGGAATTAAGCTTGGCTATATGTAATTTGAATAATTGTATAAAGAGAATAGAGATCTGCTTCGAGATAGTAAAATTTACGGGACGTCGCTAGTCGAAGATTAAATCTTGATTTCTTGCGAAGGGTTGATCGATTTATGACGTAATGAATTAACACCTTGCTCGACTGTCCCGACATGTGTAAGTACACGGGTCAATGCAATGCAAACGTATTGACAAGTCCGTGACATTCACGTGCAGCGATGACTCCGCGTTGCAACATTGACGCAATTCTTATCTGATGTTAATTGGATGCGATCGTTTATACATATGAATGCTTGTATTACCAAGGTCAGGTATGACTTATTTATATCTTTCGAAACTTTACAAGGGTCGTAAAAGCGACAATTTATCGTACGACAAGTTATACAATTTTAGTTGCTAAAACTCACTGGTCGATAATCGTAAAGTGTTTACGATTGTGCATAACCTGTTGAACGATAGCAAAGGCTTTGCACTCCAAATTAACCCTTTTTGCAGGTTATGTTTACCTTATCACTAATCAAATTCACCCTTTTACAAATAAAATTTATCTTACGAGTGGCTCAAAAGTAAAGTAATAAATATGTATTGTTAATCCATGTAGTAAAATTTTTATTTTGGATTTAATAAATTTTCATCGGATTTTATTTTTAGTACAATGGTTTAAGAACATAAATTTGTAAAAAACAGGAGGGTTAATTTTTAGTGCAAAAATATGATCTACAAAAAGGTTAATTTGGCGAACAAAACCTGTAAAGTAGAAAAAGATTCTTCTGGATCGATTCTTTTGGACATTCTGCGTGTGTCAAGGCTGAAGGTAAGGTCATTGTGAACTCAATATTTTAAGAGATATTTCATGTTCTTTTTAATATTACAACGCTACTTAAGTTAATATAACTTCGGAAATTTTTTATAACCTTCTTTCTCTGTTTGATCTCTAGGTTGAGTTCGTGGCGTTTGGCAGAAAAGTCATGGGACACCCTTTGAACTTTATATTGTATTTAGTTTTAATATTATAGGCTACTTTATACAGTATACTTTTTATTTTAACACTTTTACTCTCTGCCATGCGTTCTCACAAACAACTTCAAAAACCGGGGTTCCCCTTTCCTCTGTTCCAACGCTTTTATGAGCTTCCTAGATGGCACCACACATCCACTTCTCTTACATACATATACACAGATATAGGAAGAAAAGCATTATATCTCTAACAAATTCGAATCAATTCAAGCCTTTCAAGACTTTTAAAAATTGTAAGCTTCGAATTATATTCGAAACGATTCAAATCTTCTGGCTTAAAAGCTTCGAAACATTTTAAAGCCGAGATTCGAACGGTCCATCATCATCGATGACAAATCAAATCCTGTCATAGAATTTTTTCCACGTTTATTTCTGCATTTGTTTACTTATCTGGGAAAAATAATTCAAACACGCGGTCGATAACAGTCAGCACCGATGCTGACAAACGCGTTATAAATTGAACAATATAGTAAATAAAGATACTACGTCTACTACCATTTTATCTTGATTATCTGATTCTAAAACATGGAGAAAGATCCAGTGTGTGTCTCCATGAGTTCGCATCGAAACATACGTGGGTAATTTTGAAAGATAAACGGTAAATAAATATTGTTTAAATGTCTAACGCTGATGCAATGGAAAATGAAAATGATCCAGTGGTTAAAGAGGTTAGCAAGCCGATTATTATCATTTTTTTCCGACTGTTTACATCGTTTACAAAACGTGGCAGTTTTAGGTTATGCATTTCAATCATTAATAATGTACATTTTCTCCAGACCTAATGTATATTTTTAATTTTGCAACGACAGGGAATAAGTAGTTACCTCCGTGGCATTCAAATAAATTTATACTTTATATTCGCAGGTTATTTACTTCCATAAATTGAATTCTCATTTTTAAACAATCCTCGTGAATTAATTATGATCCCGATCGTATGTTTTTCTTAAATAGAATTATACTTGTTGTTTAATATAAACGGAAGTAAAGAGCTTGAATTTTGTTTTTAGATTCCAGTATTTCTTTCGAAAACACTAGCGGATAAACTTTTTATTTTTCAATATCCGGTCAGGCCTGCTCATGAAGGTTACGATAATTCAACCTTCTTAAAAACCTCTATAAAACCGAGAAATCAAGAAGTTCTCATAGAAGTGGCGATAGATACGCACAGTGTTAATTATGATCAAAGTAAAGGTGAGCAAATTGCAATTAGCGCAGATGGAGATTCAAAAGGTAATCAAGATGACAGTAACAAAGCATTCAACAGGTACTTAAATATATATCATTTGTCATAGTAGCGAACGATTTGTTTCGTTTGTGTTGCTCACAATAGATTTTACATTTCAGCAATTTCATGGATAAAACTGTGTTACAATCATCCAGAGCACTGCCAAACTGTTCCAATTATGCGGTTGGTATTTTCCAAGACGGAGAATTACATTTAACGCCGTTAAGAGGAATCGTTCAAATGCGTTCGCAATTTAATTACCTTGATAAGAGCGACCAACGTTTAAGAGACGAAGCCAAAAATACAGGCGATGGTAGCATCTGTATAAATTGTGCAATACAATTTAATTAAAATTATTTACAGTCATGTTTAATATATAGATTTTGAAGAGGACGAAGAAGGACCAAAACAAGTTAATGTTACTTTTGCTAGACAGAAACCAGAGTTTATAAAAAAGATGCAGGAGAAATCTTTCCAGCATCATGCGCAGAAAAGCTTGGAAGAAAGATGGATTCATACAAACTATATTCCAGCAAATAGTACGCAAGCAGAGGTTAATATTTTTGTTAGTTAGTTTCATCATTGATATAAAGATAATTGTTGCCGATATTTATTATAAAAATATATATATGTGTGTATTTTTAGCTTACACGTTTGGATATGTTTTGTTCTACTATAGATGAAACTGTAAATACGTTGAATTTATCGACTCAGCAATATTTAGAATTACTAGTACCAAGAGAGAAAGAGGACAATTTAAAAACGGCTGTTTCTAACGCTACAACGTCCCTTAATTATATTAGAACATTACCTCTCCTTGATCAAATTAAAATACTTATGAAAGATGGTTAGTGATTTTAACTATCATGTATATTCATTTCGAAATGATGTACTAACACTGACAAAATTTTTGCAGCCAAAGTTATATCCTTTATACAGTTACGGTCAATTTTGTCGTCGGATCAAGAAACGGCAGCTATTTTAAAATATTTACAGCAAGTGGCAGTTTTAGTACAGGGAAATTGGGTTGTAAGTAGCGAACTGGTGTATCCAAAAGACAGTATTTCATCGCATAACGGCATCCCTGCAGAACTAATGTGCAGGGCTAGGGATTATATTGTAAGTGTCGTGTGCTCGATACAATTTCCATTTAAACAGAAAGCCAGCTAATCGAAAACGTAATTTTAGTTGTTGTCGTTCACGGAACACGAATTCCTAGACAGAAAAACGATCTCGACGGTTGTTAAATTACCCGCCGACGAAATCAAAGAAATATTTACAAACTTAGCGATACGGAAACCTAAAAAGGGTTGGCAATTGATAATTCCGCCTACCAAAGAATTTATCGAAAGGTACGGCAATAATGTTTTTGTCTAATGAAACGAGAGGGGATCTATCGAAATTTATCGCACGTTTTCAAATAGGTATCCGGAAATAGCACAAAGGCAAGAAATGTTTTGGGAAGCGAAACGAAAGTTTCTTCGCGAGGCGATGGAGGTTCAAAGTCAGATTCCTCAACGTCAAAGGCGAAAGTCGAACAGGGAATCCATCGGGTCGGAAAACGAGGAGAAAAACGTGGGCCGCGGGAGGAAAACTTTGAGGGATTCCTCGATGTCCGATAACGATAGCGCGACAGAACCAGTGAAACATAAAAAAACAATTCGATCCCGTAAAGTGTCCGAGACCACGTGACCAAAGTTGACGTCCGATTAAACGTGTATAATGTTGCTACATATTGTTAATGTATTTGAAATTACGGAATCATCACGCGTCTAGATAATATTATAACGTATCTGTTTTGATACACTGCCTAAATCTTATAATATACATGTATTCTTAAATTATTTAAATAGAATATTTTCTAGTCTCAAGTGATGCGTCAAACAAACGACAATATAGGTTTCGACTACTGTCCGTTCGAATGTAGAACTTGTGCATTTTGTTATCCTAGGTAGTTATAACAAAATCCAAGATGCTATGTTTGCTTTTTATAATGTCGTACATAGTGATAATACGAACGCTATAAAAATCACTTCAATGTTATTGTCTTATAAATAAAATGTACAGAAAGATGACGAATTTTGTCTGATCGTTGCTATTGCGAGCAAATTTATTATTACGCGTGACATTGTCGATGGTTGATAGATGGTACGTACTATAATCGAAATTGTAAAAAGCATTCATCTATTGTTTCCAATAGTTACTTTCTGCACATCGTGGATCGATGATGATTTGAAAGCGTGGACTGAAAAAAAATGACTGATGTTTTTTATTTTACTAAAAATATTTTTATGAATAACGGAAAGATAATGTAAAATCGTGATTAAATCTAGGTAGAAATATATGTATACACTGTCATAACAGATGAATCATATATTGTACTTATAATACTCAAGATGTACATATTTATAATATCAAAACTAATCTTTATATATTTCCTATATCCTTCGATCCCCCTTCGTTTCAGTTTTATAAAAATTTTCGATAATTCGGTACCAGCGTTCATTGCCAGCTTTAATTTTGAATTTGAATTTGAATACAAGTGAATATAAGTAATACTAGTTGTATGGAAAGTAATACCAGTTTAAAACCAGGAAACGCCAATGAAACTCGCGATTCTGCTACATAAACACGTATCTACAGATACTCGAATATATCTAACACTAGAAAATGGATACCGTACTGGTTTTCCTAACCACTTCATTGCAAGTATTTTATTTGAGTTTAGGTATGCATGCATTATGCAATATGTATCGCCTTTTGTACACGCATACAAGTGTGCATGTGTTTGTAAGAGAAAACGTAATTTATCTTTAATAAGTTAAACGGTAGATTAATGTTAATTTCGGTACAATTTCACGCTTTGAGTCACACTAATTAGATATTTCTTTTTCTCAGAAGTAAGTTTCGTCAAGAATAGTTTTTGCATTCGATTGCATAATATTTACATTGTCATTAAAAGAAACTTACGTTTTCCATTCGATACGTGAAGCCGATTCAGTCTCACATTGAAATTTTGCATCTTAAAATTATGCAACGAAACGGACATTTCATGGCTACTGATATATCGAACAAAATTCGATTTTCGATCTGAGATATCGCAATCGAAGTAACAACGTCGAAGAGGAACGGTAAACGAAGCGTTTAAACTATAATTAAGATTAATTTCGATTATTTTCTTTACGTATATTCTTACTTCGTGGCTGAGAAAGTAATAGCCACGATTGTCCTTGAAGTCTTTGCAAAGATTATTACACTTCTCGAAGCATGTTATTGCATTAGACCTACAGAACTATTCCAATGCGTGCAAGGCATATACATCATACCAGGAGAATGTACTTATTCGAACAAAACCAGTTCGATATCGCAACATTTTTAACAAAAAAAAAAGAAAGAACTAACTTTCTTGGGGGAAAGGGGACTTTCTTCGAACGATTGCAAAATCGCTGGAAAACATCTTAAAATGTCTCAAAAGGTAAATACGGTTATAAAGAAAAGATCCAACCGTGTGTATTGAATTGTTATTTCTAAAGTATGTATGTATCATTCCACTTTCCGTCGAAGACCGGAAACTTCTCTGGTTTCAGCTATCTTATCATACCGTAGACACATTTCTATGTGTTCGACGTTTGAAATTTAAACTAGAGGTTAACCGCATAACCTTAATTCGTTAGTGTACTAACACGTAAATCACACTATGGACACTACACGAATAAATTCTTATTCGAATAACGAATAATGGATGAAATTTTATTTGTTATTCAATTACAGTGTTTTAATCGCTTTTTCATCATGGCGGATGAAGAACGAGGAAAAGAAATAACCGTCGACATTGTTTGCTCGTAAATTTTATTCTCGAATGACGTAAACATTTTAGAATAATTCATGAATTAGTTTTTACCGTTTTGATGTCAAGATATCGGTTTAAGAAGTCCATTAATGGGTTCTAATCTACGAATGAAACGTAAACGAATCTTAGTGCACGAATGGATCTAAAATTTGCACAATTCTGGTCGTAACACGTCGTGGAAACGATACGAGGGTATCCAACAAGTGGATACGCATCTTTAAATTACCAAGAAGCGATGAGGTAATCGACTTTAATAATTGGACAGGCATTCATCCTCCGTTTGATCGTGATTTTCTTATTTCCCTTTTTAACTGTTCATTTGCATACTACAGGGGCGTGATAGAGGGCGAACACACTTTCTCTCGTGGGTTTGACTGTCGGTGAAAGTACGTTTAAAGTATTTCTTACGCGTTTGCACGTCCGGAGCAACCGAATATCTATGTCGGGACAAACACCTCTAAAATGATAACATCAATTTTTCAGACGGACCAACGCGAAAGATGCGTTACACGATACAAGGTAAATTATACCAAAGCGTTTGTTCGACGTGCAATTACTGCAGTGCTATAAGAGCCCTTTCACACGAGAATACTTGTACCGCGATACGCGTATGATGAATACCAGCCGTACATGCATTTCAATGGGAGCATTCAAACAGCATTTCTCGTGGAATACGGAATCGCGATAGCAATTTTTGGTATCGTCGATCGGTCGACCGCATATCCTACACGCATAGCATAAATTTCTTTGATTATCCCTCGACTTTGTATAGAACTTTGTAAATTACAAAGAAGAAGAACCGTCAGCTAAAAATGTAGTAGAATCAAGTGAAATATCTTCGTTAATGCCATTTCAACTATCTTGTATTCTAAAAATTATGATCAATATTTGTCAACGCGTGCTTCACAGTTCAAAAGAGATTATCAATCGACTGAAACACGATCGTCGTCTAGCTTCGATATACGGCGGATACGGTAATTCGTGATGTATACTGCGTCGCATCAGGACGCATATTGAACGTCTATCGAACACTGTATCGCAATGCGTGCATACAGTCAGTCACGAAAGTCTTCGCGCACCCTCTAAAATGGTCATTTTGAAGAAAAATACAATTTCGTATAATATTATGTTTATTTATTAATATGTACAATATTATTAATTAACCTATATAAAAATGTATTATTTTTTAAGAATATTTTATGCAATGAGGAAAAAGCGAAATATGCATGACACAAAATTGTTCGTACCTTCGTATTTTAGTGTACGGACAATTTTGTGACATATTTCGGTTTTTAACCGTATAAAATATTCGTACAAAAAAAAACAATAAATTTGTATGTAGTTAAATTAATAATAAATAAATATAATATTATACGAAATTGGTGCTTATTTTCTTTAAAATTACTATTTTAGGGGGTGTACGAAGACTTTCGTGACTGACTACGTATTTTGTGTTATTCGAGATATAAAAGAAATTAATCTTTTCGTCCATAAATTGTGTTCTCATAAGTTATGTCAGACTTGTTCGATTCGCGACCCGTTTGGTTGATTTTTCGTTTTCGAAATAACGATCTGCAATGCATAATCGAGAATTGCATTCAATCGTGTCGATAATTTTCAAAATTACCAAATGACACTGAAATATAACAATAATAATTTTGGTTTAAAACCATACCTTTTCATGTTTAAAACTGGCCATCAAATTTCTTTGGAAAAAGTGGTAATCGATTATTAGGGGGGGATAATAAATAATATATCGCGAAGTGTACGTTACTTTGTTATCCTAACTGGCAATACACGCATCGGGTTTAAACTGGTAACATATTTCGTGCTTCGACTTCATGGTCTAAATTCATTTGCAGTTAGCAGAAACCGGTTCGTGGCCTGAAAGAATTTAATTCTCTTCTGCGAGGTCGGTTTTCCGAGGTACGAACACACTAGAGGGTTTGGAGCACATATTGGGACCTAGCAATAACGCCAAACAAAGCACACACGCTTCGATAGAGCTAGTTTCACTCGACGGGCAGTTTTTGAAAAATTGCATTCACTGCTCAGCGCATAGAACTCTTGAAGATGTTTAAATGACGGCGAAAAATTCTTCTGGGGAATCTAATTTTTTGATGGTTTCATATTTCACTGCAAATTCGTACAAAGTTGGTGGCTCTTGAATCTTAAAGAAATCAGTTTTGTCATTCATAAGGAATAATTGTATATCTCTAATATTCTTAATGAAAGTAAAATAGTTTCCCGGTGAGTCACACGGTATTTCTTGGAGGGGAAGGAGGTGGGGGTACGTGAAGGGGATAAGATTAAAATTTGAATAGGTGTCACATTTTTGGTAGAAATAGTGTTAAAATACAACGAAAAATAAATTGTACGCTATATGAAAATATTCAGTATTTTTCGTAAAATAGCTGCCATTTTGCCATTTTTTGTTTTTTTACAAGATCCTAGTTCATGCTATAACCACATTCATCTATATTAAAAATATCTTTGCTTTTTGGATTTCGGATAAATTGTTCGCAAGATATCACATACGCGCGTGGTTCGTAAAAACTGTTGTTTGTTGGTCAACAAAAATAGCGTAATCAATTGATATTATGCGTTGCAAAAATTCGTAAATATAGCTAAATATATAAGAAATGTATCTACAAAACCCGGAATTAATCGCTCTTTAATAGTCCACAAAAAAAAATTACAAAGACACGTATTTTTCGTGACTACAAGTTAGAATGGCCCCTTAAAATAAAAAAGATGGTGGACGGAAGAGTTAATAAGGATAGAAAGATCTTGATACGACGTTTGAGTGGAAAGGAATCGCGAAGAAAGCGAGAGTGATATTCGATCTTGTCGATCGCATCAATTGAAAGGAATCGCTTCTCGATTTCCGTCAAGTGAAAACAATATGACCTTCGTTAGGCGTCTTTGCGAAAATGAAAGTCCAACGGGATCTGTTCCAATCAATGTTAGGCAAAATACAATTAAAATAACGACTGCTTCTATTGAAACGGATAATCGTTAATCAGCAACAACCACTAACGATTGACATCTAAATTACTTCTACTTTTGTTGTAAATAAAAACTCCATTAATTTAAATATTCTCACAAATTTTTACAAGTTTCTTCTACATTTGTTATAAACTAAGAAAGTGTACCACTTATAAATTTGTACAACTTTTTTACACTTTCGCTATAATCATATATAAATGTTTATAGAAATAATTGAATTCTTTAGAAACAAAAAAAAAAAACAAAATTTAATATAACACGAATGAAAATAGTGTAAATTTTTTTTATTAATTTCAACAATTTTAGAAAGTGTATAAATTAATAATATTATAGTATATTATAAAATATTGCAGCTTTTACTATTTTCAAAAAACTTTAACACGCGATTAATGATCCTAGCTAATCTCTAATAACTCATTCGAGTGATTCATGCCACTATAAACGACTAATTGATACCGCGATCGAGAAAAAGAGACGAGAATTTTTCTTCGTGATCGTGAATTTCGATTTTATTATCTATTCGACCCGATTTATCAACTGGTAGAAAGTTTCGTCATCGAGGCATTATTTTTGTTCGATACAGAGATCGGTTTTCAGACAGTTCGCTCGATTTTAGATAAAATTCAATACGATCATCTAACGGTGAGAAAAATAATTTGATGAAATGAAATTCAGCCATGAATCTTCTGTGAAAGGTAATTAAATTAAGTGAGAATACACCAACCTACTTTCGACGTTTCAATGGAACAGTGTGCAACGCGTGATTTAGGTGAAAAGCAATTAAAGTCTGCGTTTATGTGCGTACGAAGGGGCAGTAAGATCCACCGAGACAAGATCAATTGCTTCGCAACCGCAAACGAGATATCTCGCGGGCCATTTTTCCATATTTAATCCTTGGACGGGTTAAGGTGTCTGATTGAATTGTTGCACGATTGTAATCGTAAATTTCTCATTTTATTACTATCGTATTCATCTTTACAAACTCATAAACAAAATTATATTATATTACTTCACTTCCCGTGCAACTCACAGGGTAAATTTAATCTGTGAAAGGGTTAATTTACAGTGCAAAACCTGTATTCGTAATTGTAATTGATGTAATTGATGTAATCCTCTGATTACGTGTTCTTGTTAACCTGAACTGATTAACTTTACCTCCGTGGTGGCACTAGAAAAATACTCATGGTGTTTAACGATCGAGTAGAAGGCGCGTTAGCCTCGATATGCTTGAGGAATTGGTATAGTGAATTTATGAAATCTGCGTGAGATCTGCTGGACTCCACTCTGTGATTCGTACATACATTACATTTCGTAAGTTCATATTGTCTTGGAAGTAGGGCTTGGAAAGATTCTGAAAATAATCGTTTCAAACTGTTATACAGGGTGTTCTAGAGGGTGAAATTCTAGAGGCCAAAATAAGACTAAAATCAAGAACATCAATTTCTTCACTAAGGCTTTGTTAAAAAGTTATTAAAAAATTAAATTAAAAAATTTCAAATCATTCTGGAAAAATTATTTTTGGTTGCAAAAGTCAAATACAATCATTTTTGGTCAATACACATACCCCTGAAATCCTACACACTTTCTAGAAAAAAATTCGAGAAGATGTGAAATTTTTCGACCGAAAAAAGAATTTCAAATCGTTCTGGAAAAATTATTTTTGGTTGCGGGGATCAATTACAATCATTTTTGGTCAATAGACATACCCTCGAATTCTTACGGAGTTTCGAGAGAAAAAATTCGAGTAGGTGAAATTTTTCAGTGAAATTAAAAAATTTCAAATCGTTCTAAAAAAATTATTTTTGGTTGCGGGGGTCAATTACAATCATTTTTGGTCAATAGGCATATCCTCGAAATCCAACTCACTTTCGAGAAAAAAATTTGTGAAGAGGTGAAATTTTTCGACCGAAAAAAAAAATTTCAAATCGTTCTAGAAAAATTATTTTTGATTGCAGGGGTCAATTACAATCATTTCTGGTCAATACACATACCCTCGAATTTCTACGCATTTTCGAGAAAAAAATTCTTTACCGAAAATATAATTTCTGACCGGAAATGTTTTTATAACTTTTTAACGATGCCTCAATCGACAAATTAGTATCCTTGATTTTCGTCTTATTTTAGCCTCTAGAATTTCCCATTAAAATTTTTCCGAGGGCTAACCGAACACACTATAAAAATTCTGGTCGAAGTTGCTATGAAGAACGTCTACTCCGATTAGCTATTACAAAGAATCTAAAAGTCGAACTGTATCGGTTTAAGTTAAAGTTCTCAGCGATTATAGAATGAAACAATTACGGTTATAGAACCTGTAACGTGTTGACCTTCGAATATAAAAACTGATCTGATTATTCAGAATGGAGGGGCAATATTTAATTACGGAATTAGCAACGCGTAGTCGGTGACAATTAGTTACGTAGTTTCTCGTGATTAATGGAACTTTAATGAAACTTGAGGGGGATAAAAAAAAAGCATCGAATTCATTGCACGCTCGAATGAAATTCTTACATCATCGATAGCCGCGGCCTTTCGATACTTTTTACTTTTGCGCGCGCAGGCCTTCGCACCGGCGTATTTCCGCAAAGTACGTTTCATTCCAATTGGGATTCGAACGAAATCGGGTTGAAGTTGCTTTCTACCGGTCGTCGCACGAAAATTTCCTTTCGGTAGTAGGTCGTTGTATTTCGACGTTGCTGGGCCTCTATTTGCATTCATCGAACGTGACGTTAATTTCAACGCGCGTCGATGAACATTTGCTTCGAATTTTTACCGCGAAGCCGGACGCGTTCCTTCGATTTCTTCGACACCTTCTCTAAGACACCGCGAGGAGACTTTTAATCAAAAATACCTAAGTCTTCACGCCAAATGGATTCTCAATAATACTCAATTTTCAATGTTTCAGGCATGTAAATCAAGCTGCATCTCGTTTGTGGGTTTGTTGGAACAAGAGATTTAATATGGCGCCGCGAGAAGAAGTCTAATGGCGTCAAGTCGCAAGGCATTAGCGCGAAGACTTTTAATCAAAAATACCTAAGTCTTCACTCCAAATGGATTCTCAATAATACTCAATTTTAAATGTTTCAGGCATGTAAATCAAGCTGCATCTCGTTTGTGGGTTTGTTGGAACTAACAAGAGATTCAATATGGCGCCGCGAGAAGAAGTCTAATGGCGCCAAGTCGTAAGAGATTAGCAGCCGGTTGACAGCTACATTTCTCGATATAATCTTATCAATGAACTTCGATCTCAATAGAGCGATAGTTTCAGCATGCGCCACGCCAAAGAGAAGATGAAATCATCGAACGGTAACGCTTACCACTATCAGTCACAGTCACGTCGTCTTCATTTAGAAAAAATTCAGGGCCAATGACTCCAAAAAACCATACTACACGGTAACTCGTTTTTAACACTAGATTTACGGAAGCAGTCAATTTGACGGATCTCAGATTCCATATTTAAAATTGCAGAACGCGTAAATATTATTTTTGTTGAATTTGTTTGATGCAATGGCATGAATACATATTCTAATTAAAAGAAAAATCGTATTTTAAGGAATCGTCAACATGAAAGGTATCAATAATCGGCGATCAATGCCCGTAAATCTAGTGTTAAGTACTTACAAGAGTCGTTGGACTATCCACTGAGGATCAGCCATAAATCGATTCTTCTCATCGTTCTGCATATAAAAATATGTCTATGATCGAGATTGTAATATTTTACTAGATATTTTATATTTTATAATCTCGGATTCGAGACCTCGATCGTCATGCTGTAATTGTATTCGTCATACTAGATTACGTAGTACCGATGACCGCGATTATGGGTATCAGACAAACGATACGATTTGTAAAAGCACATTTCATTCAGTTCACGAATCGCACCTTGGGTGCTCTTACTTTCCAGATGTTGCTTATTGGCCGTGTTACATCGAATCACTTTCGAACGCACAGTTACCGAAAAAAGTATCCAAACACCGAGATACGTGCAGTTCAAACGATAATATTTACGCGTTCTGTAACTTCCAAATATGGAATCTGAAATTCTTCTGCCGCTACTGTTGAAAACACTGATCTTTTTATTCAAATTAAAAGAAACATCCGGTGTTAGTAACTGGGTACTTACATTGGGAGTACAAATTAATGAGGGAAAGAAGTAACACAAAAACAGATGTACATTGAGGGATAAATACATATGTACCAGTAAATAAATCCAGTTAATTGTTTCAGGTGGTCGAGAGGACGGAACGTTTAAACGAGTTTTACGAGGTCGAGGAAAAGGTACGTAATCGTATCAATTATCAGGTATAATACACATTTGTGTCATATAATTAACGTTTGAAAGGTCGGTTTCGAAGCGGCGAATTACTAAATACAGGCATGTAGTGAATATATCCGTAGCGTGCATTGAAACGAATTAATCTTGCAGCTCGAGTTATGAAAAGCAACACATTCGAATTTGATAAAAAACAGAAGTATTCAAATCAGTGCAAAGCAAACGATCCAGGTGATTTCTCGACGACGATGCTGTAAAAATGTACACCTGCCTGTATCATAACACGGGATAATGTTAAATAAGCCGCAAGAATGCGTTTTGTTTTCTGAGAAGCATCGAAGTACCCCAAAAATTAATATTGAAAAATGTCTTGCAATCGTACGTCAGGCAGAGTCGAATTTTGTTCACGAATAATGAATAAAAATTTAAAATCGATCGAAAATGAATGTTTATGAATTAGATTTTATTAATACATTTTCAGATGTACAAAATCGCGTGGTCAAGGGGTCGAGGAGTGTAAGAGATCCACTGTTCATGGGTCAGAGTTTTCGGGGGAACACCTTGTTTCGCATTACGTATCCACCGCCGTCTCCCACTACCCTAAAGCGGACCCAGGTATTACCTAGTGGAGGTAACTTTCAGCGAGACACGCTATATAAGAGAATGAAGGACCGCGGCCGGCTAAGATAAAGCTCGCGTGTTGTCAATCCGTTCATCGTGCCGTTGCTCCTCTACCTTCGTCGTCGACAGGTAAGTGGGGGGTGAAAAAGTACGTTTTCGAAAATTTATGGGAGGAGGCGGGGGGAGGAGGATGAAAAGGGGGAGCTCGAGAAATAACGCGAGATCAGTGACGACGACAGTGCAAGTGCTTCCCGCGGAGGTTCGATCATTATTTTTTACCTTTTTGCCCTTTGTGTAACGTTGGTGTCCATTTTGTTTTCGAACGCGCGGCCGTCAGAAATCGATACTCGGCGTAGCAGATCGGCATACCAATGCGCGCGATATAGGCGTACGCGGATCGAGGGAAACTCGATGAAAAATCCGCTAGATTAGCGTCGTTATGCATGGTGGAGCAGAGATTATGGCACGTGCCTTAGAAGCGGGAAAAGGAACCGGTTGTGCGAGGGCGATCAGGAACTGCAACGAGGAATTTACGAAACATTTTTCCACCGCTGGATATGTCGATGTACACGAAACTATTTTACCAAGTAATTTATTTGCTGCGGGCGTTTCGTAAATCGTGCCATTTTTGGCATTTTTAATTTAATTGGGACTCCCGAATCTTCGATAGGATTCATTATAGGTGAAAGAAAATTGGCATTCTAAACTGTTCACGTTCAGAAAATTCTCGGCTAGGCTAGGTGAATTAAATTCAGACAAATTAAAATATTATTTTAATATATTATATTAATTGTCAATTATTTTTGCCTGTTGAAATAGTTCATAAAATAACAGTTTGTTAACTTGTATGCACTTAATTGAGACTCGAATCAGACTCAACGTAAGACTAGCAACATAAGTGATGTTAACTACATTTACGTATATTCTTAAAAAATTAACTTTTGTCTAGGTCCTCTCAATTTTATCTTCAATTTCAAATTGCATGCAATTAACATAAGCAGTGTTTATGTATGTTTGTAAGTGAAAAACACGGTACGGCGCAAAGAGAAATATTTAAGCTATTTTTGAGAATATTTTTAAATTTGATAAACTAACATTTTCATATTCTTTCGTAGAGAAGGAGAGACTGATCGAACGGTGCATTAAAATGGGAAAATAGCGCGGTGGAAGTGATCGAATACAAAGTTCCACGAGAATCTACGAATATTTCGGATAGTTAAAATTCCGGAAAGTGCGATCGATAACAGTTCGACACGCGCGAGTAAAAGGTTAATACGCTGGAATACCGCAGTCTTTGGTCTACCGGATTGAAAAATGTCGCCACAGCTATAAAGCATGCTCCAGATTTCCTTAAGAGCATGTCCAACCGGCCGACCAGTTACGTGCGCCCTCCGTTGATTATATTATACAGCCGCGTTCCCCTCGTTTGTAGTTACCAGGCAACTATCTCTTTTTTCATTATGCAATTGCTTTCTTTGCGCTACGCCTCGAGAAACCCCTCCGGATCAGCTTCCAACCGCGACGATCGCAAACTTAATCGAAAGAAGGACACATGATTCTCTTCTCGCACGCTAGTAACAAATTACAGCTTGTAAAAAAGACACTGTTTACAGCAACGTGGGGAGTCTCTTCCACAATTGTCAAAACTCGCGTGAATTGTAACAAATAACTAGAACAAACCCTTTGCTTATCCGATTTCATAAAGTTTCTAAAATAGTAACCTACGGTATCGTCTTACTCCTGTTCACATCTTTTCTAGAAGCTTCACAAACGTCCTCGTGACTCGTTACCTAAGAAGGTATTACAAAACACATGCATTATACCCTTGAAATGGGTATTACAATAGACATGTAACCTACATGTTACCCCCTTATGATCGAAACCAATCGTTTACTTTGAAAATAATTTTAAGTTAAATAGAGAACTTCTGAGAGTCGATCGTTCGCCACGTTCGTGGAGAAAGTTTCCACGATTTTCCTCGGTCAAAGATACCGGTGAAACCTGAACAGAATATCGACGCGTGGAGAAAAAAAAAAAATGGAAAAAAGAATAAAAGTGTTCGGGAGTGGATCGAGTTTCCGAGGGATCCTTGGTGTCGAACCAGACGCGCCGTGTCCTTTCTAGACGCGAACCTTGGACGATATTGTTTCTCGATCTGCATGCGCCAACGTCATAACTCAATTCGCAACACCCGATACAGATACGCTCTCATTTTTCTCGTACAGTGCCATTTTTGTACGCAGGACCCTCTCACTTTCACTCGGGGCTACCGATCGAGACTTGCCACCACCTTCGAGACGATCGGCCGGTTCGCTGTGCCCGCGGTCTAAGTAAAGACAAGCTCCTCATTAAGACCGGTAACCGCATTTTTCCGGCGCCCTGCCGGCGCAAATCGTTAACCATTTTGTTCTTTGAACGAACAGGTTAATCGGGAAAGCGGCGACTAAAATTACGCGATGACCCGCGAGATCCAACAAACGGGTTGCGTAAAGTGTCTGAACGGAATGCGAATAATTTACTTTTGCGCAGTCGAGGCGAAATTCGACACCGGCAAGATATTTATACGCGGCGATATCGTCGAGTCTCGGAGTCGCCTTTATCTTTCGCCGAATAAAAGGACTGTGAGCGAGAGCGAATAAGAAAAAAAGCATTGTCTTTCGTACGAATCGTCGCCGGGATCTCGTATTGTTTTTTTAAATGTCGTCTTTCACGCTTCACCGGCCTCGAAGGGGATTCCCCGGTTCCCCGGCCCCCCTTGTTCTCTTTATTCTCTCTCCAGTTTCGAGACGGGATAAGTATCATTTAAAGATCTTACGTTATTAATCCAGGTATTACAGAAATTACGTAAGTTCCAGATTACAAAAAGTATGCAAGAAACGTACGCATAGTTTGAGCGGTTCGAGTACCATCGTTGTGCAAAATTTCGTTCGAGAGCTAACGATACACTTGGAAACCCCCCTTTGCGAGAACACACACCGAAGTGAAAGCGACGAGTCAAAAAATATACTTTCTTCGTATCGACGGGAGGTTGAAGTTTTATTCGCGCACAACGGATCTGCTATTTGCCAGTTATTCGCCGATCGCTTTGTCACGTCGACGCCGGGGCTTCGCTTTTACTCTTTTTTCGCGTTTGTCACGCTCAACAGAAGTTTCTTTTTATCAACGAGAGATCTGCGCTGTACAAACGTCGGGAGGCCCGTTCCCGTAAGTCGAGCCTTTCAAATTTATCGAAAGCGCCGGATCTCTCGCGATACATCATAGCCGTTACGAATGAGATGTCCTCAACGGATCGTGAAACCGCTGTTCGTGTTTTACGCACTTAGAAAGCGGAGGTGCTTTCCATCGGCCGGCGTCGATGAAACAAGTACGAACACGCGTGTTTCAAGTTTAACAATAAGTCGTACAGAGGGATTAATTCCTAAACGGGACAGAAGTAACACTGTAAAATTGTAAACAATAGTTAAACTATCTTCCTATTTATCTGTGTAAACTGAGCTTAGAAAATAACAGAAAAAATTAGTTTACTCTGGTTTGAAAAATATTTATCATTATGGTATTGTAGTTATGCACCCGGGTATAGTGCAGTAATCAGTCAATTATTTCAACGAATGGAAACCGGCCCGCAGGTTGTTAAATTTAAATGCATATTTCGTTTTCTATGGTTACGGTCGAACGGATCAAACCAGTTGCAAATACCAAACGTCTCGTTACGCGGATAAAAATGGAATTTCACTTAATCGTGCACGCGGATAGAGCAATTTTACTTCTCTTCGATCAATTTGCCGTTTAGATTACGATGGTGTAAATTGGTCTGATCTCTGAGCCGAAAGCGATAGGAGGCGGGCTTCATCAATCGCTTTATTCGACACGTTAGCACGTTTATTGCGGAGGAGATAGATTTACCTCTTTGCATTAGATCCGCCTGTCGTCGTTGAGTTATTTACCTGCTAACAAGGGAACACACCAAACTGCCAATCGCTATTTTGATCAAATCAAGAATATTTGATCTGTAATTTTTTTATCTGCCGTCGTCCATCTTGGACGAGTGAAATCCCCAACTTGAATATCTCACAAACTATTGGAAATATAGAAAACGTGTAAATGCATGAATTTTATATTCTTTATGACGAATTGGTAAAAAAGTGCAATTTTTCAATATATTATTTAAACGAATTTTTTACCAATCTACAGTCTAATTCGTCATAGAGAAATACAAAACTCATCCAAGTCGGCGATTGACACTTTGATATGTTCCCTTATAAACACATTGCTGGATAAAATGTTATTCCCGTAAACAGTAAATTATTAGCCTTTATTACGATAGAGTATATTCGTATCTCAAACAAAATAAAACAAAGCAGGAGAAAAGTTTTAACGATCGAGAAGTGCTTCGAAATTTCTGGGGGGCGTTTAAAAATAAGAAGTCGTGTCTGAAAATGTTAGGGGAATTTTACGACAGACGGTGGACGAGAGAGAGTGTACAGCCTCGCTCGACTCGGAGTACGATTGTGCTGTTTCACCACATTTCTCCGTGGCCCTCTTTCTCGCGAATATTCTAGGTCATCGGCATTAAACGTGCATGCGTACTGCACACTTGCACGCAACAGCTGCAAGTGGATTCCCTGAAAATCAAGTATCACTTTTCTAAAGGATTACTTACGTCTCTCTTTGCGTTCCCCGATTACTTTCTTCCAAGGTTTTTTTTAACGGTGAAACCGTGGCGACGCGTACAACTGTTTAACTGTCACGTTCAATGGCGTACTAAAATCTTTTGATTTACATTGAAATTGCGACTTATTGTTAGTGGTAAATATAAAGGGAGAGCTACGCGGATTTAAATCCCCCACCATCGATAAAAAATATTTATTATCTGAATTTTATTTTTTTTATTAATTATCTAAAGTGTATTTTCCTATTTCTAATTATAGTTTCTCGAGGTGGGGGATTCGAAATGTCAAATTCCATTATCATCACTCCATCGTATTTATTATCGTATTAAACGCGATTACGATTTAAAATTACTCTGTAAATCGAGACGTATTCTGTCTGACGTTCGCGCGTCGTTTACGTGCGAATAAAACGTGACGTTGAACGATCGTTGGAATTAACACCGAATAAAAAGTGAATGATTGCACGGAGATGCAAGATGAAACGAACGAGGGAAAGCGTCGGTCGTAAATCTGCTATGCATCTCCGATGAAAATCAGACGTAACCGATCGTACGCGATACGTTCGCGGGATAATCGAAAAGATCCATCGATCCTAAGACGAGCAGCGATTACCATCAATCTCGCAAAGTATCGTAACTTTCCGTTTCGAGGAGATCCACAGTCTGTTGCGCATATGAGAATTCGAAACACAAATCATGATCAATTTTCAACGTCGTACATACGTCTCTCTATTAGTATTTTAAGATACGAGCATTTATAAAATATAGACTTCAGTTTTGTTCTTCACTTTTATGGAAGATATCGATAGACAAGGTCGCTTTCTCCAGCACGTGTCTACGTAGAAATCTCTGTTATTTCGTCTGCGTATCGTGTGCAGAAAGTGCATCGAGCACGTAATTTCAGGCAGTAAAAAAATAGCATTGTATTGCAGGATGTATTGGCTGTGTCTGACGGCACTGGCTGTGTCTGCTACAGCACAGAGCGCTTATGATTTGGACGGCAGAGTCTCCTATCCTGGCAAATCGTCCAGCCTAGGACCGCTCTATGCATCCGCGGGTCAAGGTTTCCGCGATAACAGCTACGAGGACAACATCGTGACACCCACGCCAACGCCTGCATTCAGAAACCCTAATCAACAACCTGTAAGCAACTCGTATTATTTCTACGGTATCCTCGATACTCCTATCATCATATCGTCTAGGCTAATACGAAGAAAGCGTACATCACGAGCCAGAGTAATTGTATAACTTCGACTGGAAGAAACAAAACCAGAAAGAGTTATTCATATAAAGATACAGATTCTATGTAAACAAGTTCACTTGTGGCTTTGACAGGAGCTTATTAATTAAATTTTCAACGAATGTTAAGCTAGTGTTAGTTAAATACAATCTCAGTTAATATCATTTCCGTGGTGGTAAAGGTACCAATCTCTATCATGACTGAAAAACAAAAATAGCTCGGATTTTAATTAAAAAGAGTTGTAAATTGCAGAAAAAATCCTAAAAGATTTAAAACAGTGATCGACCATGCGTGGAATCGAGAACTTTTACTAGATTTCCTTTAAAGGACCGGTACACTCAAGGCCCAACAGGTGCAAAACAGTTATCAAGGCCCATTGGGGCCCGCGAAGTATTAAGCTAATTCCAGCTAATAATTATACATATCTGATGCATGAGATTTTTGTTTCAAATCCGCGATTATAATTATAGCAATTAAGGTGTTAAAGAACCAAATTCGTTTACCGTGACGATAAGCGACTGTACTATATTTTTCCTTTTCGTTTTGCTACTTTTCGGAGCGCTCGAATTCCGAGTATTAATAGCTGCAATGAAAGCAGTTGCGTCATATTATATTGCGTATTCGTGATACATATTACGTAAGGGTTTACGTAAAAATAACCGGTTACTTCAAAGTACCGATTCACGTGACTTTCTTGCCGCGTGCAACTGCGTAACAAGTGCGTGAACTTCCATGAATGGTTTCCCACCTGGGAGAAGAATTTTCTGGCTATGGTATTCGCCGCTTCTACGACATGGAGGATCGAGCATACGAGTTGCACGTTGAACGATCTAAATTACTGAATGTTCTTTTTTGCAGTTGTATCGTAAACCGACGTTGGAGCAAGGGGGTATCAGAGTGAACGGACCTCCACGTGGTATTCTTCGCGGTGGACAGCCACAAAATCCTGAGGTAATTTATCGATTGGCTTGTTAATCGTTTAACTCTGCCTTTTGCAAAATTCGAACGGGCCCGTAACAGGTGCGGACGAAATTGTTGTTCTTCGTATCGTACGATAAGTGAAAGCAACCAAAGAAATCCTTGCATCCATTGTTCGCGACTTTGCACAATAAAGGCCTTACATAATCACCGGCCATTACGACCAGGGGAAAGAAATGATTTCATGAACGGGACAAATCGTTTTACTTCTTGCTCGGTGATTTAAAAAGAAATTACGTATTTTGCGACGGATCGTCGAATCGATTTTACCAACAATTTCGTTACGCTGTCCTTTAACCCTTTCGCTCGCAATTTCTCACGATCGGTACAAATTTTTTAATACATAATTGGCACGGTAACAATATAAATTAAAAATCTATGTGTATTGGAAATGACACGTGTACGAAGGGTATTAAAATGTGAAATAACGTTTCATACTGTTTTATAACACGTGAAACTCAATGCGCTAAATTTAACACGCCCACGAGCGAAAGGCTTGAAGAATACCATCGAGCAACGAAAACATTTGCGTAAACGTTTCACTTTCCCGCGTGAGTCGGTGTCATTGAAACTACGATGTCATTGACATTGCACTGTGGTTGAAGGCCGAAGAGCTGGAAGAAAAGGAGGAGCCCGATCGTCTGACGCTTCTCTTACCGCAAAGTAAATTCGATTGCGTGAACAAACAGACCGGATACTATGCCGACGAAGACCTAAACTGCGAAGTGTTCCATTATTGTCAGGATAACGCCAAACACTCGTGGATCTGCCCCGAAGGGTTCACGTTCCACCAAGTAAGTACCACGTTCTCTACGGGTACTTTAAAATCGATTATGGATACGCGTTCCACAATCGTAAAATGCGTTACGTGATACTTGTTTCGTGTTACAATTATAGAGGACTCGAAAGCAGTATCGATTTCAGTTCTTGTTGTATAACAATCGTGATAATATTATTGGAAACGTATTTCCTGCATTCCTCGTGCGCGTACATATTCTCCATTGTGCGACCATCCGGCGGGAAAATTTTACGAATCGTAAAATGTAAATAATTTGTGACAATTATCACCGGAAAAGACAATTTCGAGCCCGATGCTAATCGTTTCTGGACAATTCAGGCGCGCCGGTGAAAGTTCGCGAGAATAAACTTTGTTTTGCGCCAATTAACCGTGCCTCGGACAGCCATCGATAAGTAAATTTCACCTCTCGCGTATTTTGATGTACGGTTTCATCTGGCTACTTCCGGTCTCGTTCTCCGAACGGGTAACTAAGGCCAATCATAAATCGCCTCGATCGGTTTCCTCGATAGCGGCGTATCGCGGTGGGTTTCCGGGGTAATCAACCCACGCCCCCTTTTCTCAGCTGAAAAGATACAAATAGAGGAACGGTATGCGTTGTCTAGCTCCACGGGACACCTTTCTCTTTTCTAAACATAGAAACCATTAACCTTTTCTATCTCGAGTACTGAAATGAAAACTAAAATTTGAGAGACTAATTAAAATACTCAATCTTCAATATACGTATGCGCTGATAAAAGTCTCTAATCTCATTTAGACAAAAAAGGGATTTACGTGCAATTTGTTTGATAGGTTCACCTAATTTGTATGCCACCGAGCGGCGACATAAACTGCAAGAAGAGCTCCCAGTATCACTTCGTTAACGAATACCTGTACAAACCACTGAATTTGGCCGAGGCGGAGACTAAACCAAATGTGACCTTGAGATACAGCGAGAGATATTTCCCTGCGGACATCCACGCAGATGAACGTGAGGTTGGTGACTATCAGATCACCCCTTCCTCTGTGCCCATTCGTCGTCCCACGCCGCCGGTAAGATTTCTCGATGGCCAATAGATCCTTCCCCATTCGACAGGGGTAGCATTTCGTCGTAGATAGCGGCCAAAATTGATTCTAGTCAGCGTAATTTAGAGTATAGAGTTAACTGCAGAAAAAGAAATCACGATGAGACTCAAATTCCAATAAAAAGCTATTTATTTTTTATCCGTTATTCGAGAATTTTATCTAGATACAAAATTAACAATAGTTTGAGATAGTTATATTACTGTGCTTAAAATATAAAATAATCAACGTCAGGTAAAAGTATTCTATCAGCACCAACAATGTTCTTTCATAAAATTAAGAATACAGACGTATTCTTTGGAATGAGGAGTGCAAATATTTGTGCACAGGTGTATGCAAGCCCTCAGCCATCCACATTGAACAGCATTCCGCCCTCGGCTCGTCCACAACCAACAGGCCTTCCACAATTTCGTTTACCGTTGAATCAGGTGTTTCGTAGCCCCGAGGAAGTGAATATTCCCCTGCAACATAGACGTCCGCAGCCACAGCACCAGCCTGTGAGAAGATTCCCTCAAGTCCGACCCGATGATGAAGAATACGAGTGAATCAGACCCGCAGTCGATCGATTCGATATCTATCATTCATCGTCATTACTCATCATCGTGTTTCAGTTGCTAATTGTATTGCTGGAATATCATCATACACCTCTTGCATTCAAATTAAATCAAGAGATAAATCTTCAGAAGTATTTGTTGTATTTATTCGAATAAATTATAGCAGCGTAGTTGTATAAATTAATCGTAGAACATAAATTATTCCATGCTATCATTTTTCATATTCCGTAGAGGTCTCTTAATATCGTAGATTGAAATCGGATCGAGCCTTCGTCCAAGTTTGTGATTGATACTTTGGAAAAGTTGGTATTAAGTTGTATTTTCAAGATGGTTGTGGTTTTAGAGGAACCCGAATTAATTCAGTAATCATCCCTCCAATAGTTGTAAAAAGTTACGATCAGTGATAATTATAATGATATAATGAATTTGTACGTACTTCAAGTATGCTATTTAACGTGTAATCTGTAATTGATATTAGCATAACAGTGATGACCAATAAATTGTTTTGCGTTATTTTTAATAGCGCTCGGCATTTTGTAAACGCTCCCGCAAAATTATCACACATTATGTAAATAATTCATCGTAATACTTTTTGTACTCCTACAAATACAGATCTATCAATTTTGTCATGGATTAAAAATTGTCACGAAATTTGAACGATTTACGCTTATGTTTGTACATACATGCGGAAAAACAGTCAAGTTACGCTCTATATTCTTAGAGAATTCTTATATAATATATTGAATTTATATACTTGAGTTAAACATAATTAAAAAATTCAATTATCTTTTAATTTTCGTTAAAAAATAGTACCAAATCTAGAAGCTTGTAGATATATGTTTATACATATTGATACAAAGAAGGATATTAATGTTGCATTTTATATCACGTAGTAAGTGCAATTACTGCACAACGTCATGGATAAATTCGTGTTATCGTATTTTTTTTCTCATTCAATAACATTAACACTAAATCAATCCGAAAAATAGTTGACAGAAACATAAAAGGAGCCATGATTTATTTAGCATTCGTTGTTTATTAAATTGAACGTGTACAAATTTAAGGTTTCTCTTGTTCCTTTTCACGTTCTTTTGATGCATAAGGTGTCGCCATATTGTTTGCTACACTACCGCCTTCAGAAGTGAAAAACTTCGGGGTTAGAACTTAAGTATCGTCACATCGTTCGTGTCTCTTAATGTTCGCGTGGATTTGTCTCGTTTTCGTATTGATTCGCATCGTTTCGTCGCCTGTAGATCCTTTCACGTGAAAACCAAACAACGTACAATATATTTTCTGTAGTATTTGCCCAATAGTTAATCGGTGAATTTCGTATACTCTTGATAAACGACATTTGATACGAAGAATTTTGGAATATGGCTGCTGCTGCTGCTGCTGCGTTACTCGACGAACTTATGGGAAGAAATAGAAATGTTCTTCCTAATGAAAAACCCAAAGAACTTAATTGGGAAGATCCAGAGGTACGTCCTTGTAAATGTTGATATTTCAACTATGCAGTCGTTAATATATTCACATTTCCATGCGTCTCAACTTGGTACCATTTCTCATAATGTTAAAATATTATTAATTTCTGCGTTTCAGTTTTGCAAACTATATTTGGTAAAATTTTGCCCCCATGATCTGTTTGTTAATACAAGAGCTGATTTGGGTGCGTGTTCCCGCGTGCACGACGACGAGGCCAGAGAATTGTTCGAGAAGGCGCCGTACTCATACAGAAAACAACAGTACGAGGATGAGTTTATTAGATTTTGTCAAAGCATGTTGAACGAAGTCGAAAGAAAGATAATAAAGGGAAAGCAACGGTTAGCCCTTATAGGAAGAACGGAAGCAGTAAGAATACTTTTGTAATTTTATTGTGTTGCTATTGAAATAACAACAGAGAGATTAATAAATTTTTATGTATATTTAGCCTACTTTAACACCAGCACAGACTCAAAGGAACGAAGAACAAATTGCTCTCTTAACCGAAAAAATAAATAAACTGGTAGAAGAGGCGGAACAAAGCGGCATACAAGGAAATGTGGAACAAGCACAGGGCCTAATGAGATTATGCGATCAATTAAAAGAAGAACGAGAAACACTCAGAAAATCAAACGACAATAGTCATTATAATCAAGTAAATATTGTAGTATAAAATGTAATATATCTTAATAAGAAAACATAGAATCTATAATATTGATTTATTTCAGACTGCTGAACTAGCTGCTGCTCAGGAAAAACAAATGGAAGTATGCGATGTATGCGGTGCGTTTCTTATTGTTGGCGACGCTCAACAACGAATTGACGATCATTTAATGGGAAAACAGCATGTTGGATATGCGAGATTAAAAAGTGCTCTTCAAGAAATCATGGTAATTTCGTATTTATAATACGAAACATTTTACATGCTTTTAAATATTTCATGTTTGTTAAACATTATGTAAATATCTTTGTAGAGTAAACGCGAAAAAGCCAGAGATGAAAAAGAACAAAGAAGAGAGGAGGACCGAAAGCAAAGAGCACGCGCTAACGAAGAACTTGATAGGCGAAGAAGAGACGGAGACAGAGATAGAGATCGTGACAGAGAAAGAGATAAACGACGTCGACGTAATGATGATGATAAAGCCAGGCATGATTCCGGCAGTCACAGGTAAATTATTTAAATATTTTCCGTATACCAATTTGCTCGAGCAGTTATTAAAAATTCTCAAATTAAACGACGTGTTTGTCATTTAGTTGTCGTCTAAGTATATATATATTTTCTTAAATAAAAAAATTTAATTATATTTAGAAATTCTGGACACAGAAGTAGGAGCAGATCAAGAGATAAACATGATAGACATCGAGATGATGATAACCATCGACGTCATGCTCGAGACAAAGGTAAATAATAATTTTATCATCATAAAATTCAAATTATTACAAAAATATGCTATATATTTTCAGCAAATCGTGATCATCGGAGCTCAAGTCATCATAACCGTCGTCGCCATCGATCTAGAAGTCGAAGTCACAAGTAACTACTCTTGATTGGTTAGTGAGTGAGAAGTAAGCCAGGTATGCACTAAACAATATACCATATTCGTCTCAATTACTGTACAGGTTCTTTACCAGGTGAGTTTCATTAGATGCACATAATATATACATGATAATTATCTGTAATTTTGAAGAACGGCATAGTCACAGCGAGCCAGTCTCTGGTCCTGCCTATTAATCGGAGAAACACTCTTACTAAATTTCATATGGACCTGATCGTACAGCGTTTAATTTTCAAAGTGACGAGCTTGTTCTATGTAACATATTACTGAAAAAAGGTGCATCGAGGTAATGTCGAGCAAGGAGTAGTAAAAGTCGTTCCCATACGAAAGGTATTTTTATCATGTAGTATTATAGATATTGTCTACAGAGCAAGATAGGAGAAGGTATACCTATGCTTGCTTTGATCGGTATAATGTCTTCATAGGGTAAATCAATTATATAATTTCAACGACTGCATAGCTTTTTTGTCGAAAAGAAATTAGTGGTTTAGTGGAGGAAACAGTGCCTACTTCCGTAGACCTGCCACAACAGTGCCCTGTGTGACTGTGACTATACAATCCTAGCTTCTACTACGCATTTCTGAGGTATTTATATCGGAATGATAATACCAAACATGTCCTTTTATTAGGAAAGTTTAGATATTTTGAAAACGGTGATCTTTATTTTGGAGCGATACTTGAGTGCTTAGTTACAATAACAAACTCCTGCTCTTACTTTCCTTATTCCCTGATTGCTATTTATTGGAGCATACTCAGTTTAAAGCCGAACGATGTGTCTACTAATTAGTCAGGGAAGATATTTGATATAGGATTGAGATAATGTATCTGCGTGTATAGTCCAGAGATGTAAAAAAAAAAAAACTATTTATTTAACAGCCGTTAGACTATAATTGACGATGCGGTTAAAAAAATTGGGCTTATATGTTGGCATATAGTCGCATCGGTATATGTATGTGTTTTCTTCCGAACTTTATATATGAAAGTTCAAGAAATATGTATCATGTACACCGAATAATATACTCTTCTTTCCTTTGCATGCATTTTTTCTCCGTTATTTTTAGTTTTGAAAGACAGGACATGGGCGAAGCTCAATCAAATTTTCTAATTGGGTAGTCGTAATTCTTAGTGTGAAATAGTACGTCGATTTAAAGGTTGATGTCAGGTCACATGGAGTCATGTATTTGTATGGTGCTCCCAGGAAATCCCCTCTTAATCATATCTTTGACTCATTCTTTTGTCGTGTCCTTCGTTTCGGCTTGATAGAAGACTCATACATTGCGCGCGTACTACATTTGTGTGATTCGTGTTCGCTCATAATAAATCCTTCACACATCAAATAATCTGCTTTTGAACCAACTAGACAGAAAAAAACGAAACACAAAAATAATAGCTTTAAATAAAGAATCGTCTTGTATTGTTACATTGGGATGAAAGAAATTCTATGTTTTAAAAAGGATCAACGGATTTTTGCTGTTTCAGTTTGAATTGTTACATTTCAAGTCATTGTTTTCATTTCATTTTTATTTCATTATCTTAATGTACCTTAGTATTAAATATTATATTTAATATTATATTTAGCGCAAATATATTCATTCGATATTAAAATATGTTTTATTTTAATAAGAAACATTGAACTAGGTTTGGTTAGTATCAGCATAAGAAACATTAAAACAATTCATCAATAAAATTAATAAATTAATACTCATTATAATTATCTATAAAAATTTCAATGAAATCGATAATTTAGTCATTTTCATTCAAACCTTATGTAAATTAAGATGTCATTCCTTTTGTTTCCAATGTCACAACCAAAGATGGTCATAATTCTTAATTTATTATCTGCTTTTCCACACATGTAGCTGACAGAAGTATGATATATATTTTTTTTTTTTTAATTCGTATATTAAGACAAGGTTAATAAATAATATATACAAATACATTATCTAGGTGTTTGGTAACGATCAGAATTAATATGAGAAGAAAGAGGTAATGAAATCGTAATTTCTAAAAATTATGTTGTCTATTTTCAGACAGAAGAAGACATACCATGGGGATATAACCAATGCAACAGGCTCACTTGCACACTGCTTAATATAATATTAAGGTAAAGATTTTGCATAATCTACAAATTCAAACAAATCGTGATTTTTATACAACTGCGTCTAAATTACTTTTCATCGCATCGCGCTATCTTTAAATAAATTACAGAAAAATCAGGTTTCTTGAAATTCGATTCGTAATTATCGTTATCAACGTTTATGTCACACCATCAAAATATATTTAAAACAAATTTATTAGCAATTTATTCATATTTGATGCAAATGTTATTTTAGGCTGTCTGTATATATATACATATATAAAAAGACATTAAGGTAAATTATCTATAATTTGCATTGTAATACTCGTAAGATTGTTAATTGAAATTAATAAAACAGTACTACAATGAAAGTATCAGGTTATTTAAAAAAAAAAAAAAAAAAGAAGAAAAAGGAACATGCAAATATTTCTTAAATAATCAGAACCCATCAATGATAAATCAATGACATTGTATAATAACGTACAATAGTGAACAAACTGTATAATTTATTAAATAAGTATATACATTAATAATTACTAAGCGATAGGATACTCTATCCAAATACTGTTACATAGTAGAAATATTTGCTATAATACAATTTTCTGCTATAATCAAATCGTCTTTGTACAAATTAAAATACTGTACATCGAGTGTAAATATTTAGTCGAGTGGCTTTCACATTGCCGTGCGTAAATTGTTCGATCACAATCAATTTCATATTAACGATTTACGTATCATTGAATAGACAAGATTTTATTTAAGCCCCATACTCTTTGTAACCTAAAAGTAATATATTATTTAATCAGTATGATCTGTTTTAAAATTGTCTTAACAATAAAAACGCAAAAGATACGAGAAATTATGCTACCTCTTCATATACAGTCCAAGCCATAGCAGTCACTAATGTCCTTCTCAACATTCGCGGAACGATGCCTTTGAAATATCCTAACATTCCATATTTCTTATAAACCCTAAACGTTGCACTAAGAACGCCTTTAAATTCGTTCGGATATAATTGCATTTTCGTTTTGATTACATCGGCAGGTTGTGTTACGATAGAAGCAAATATTCCTGCTAGTATTCCACAGCTAAAATGAATCGGAACTGATGATTTGGCGCGCGGTAATTCTGAAAATAAATGTTTATAAAAAATGATCGGCTATCGTAGAGAAATTTAAGTGTTCTGTATCTTAGTAGAAATTATTACCTGGTTCTACAACAATATTTTTCAATTGAGTATAAAACATGAGATAAAGACCGCTAAAGGGAGCGTCTCTTAATAAGGTCGGTACTAATCCGCTTGAAAGACCTCGCACTCCTTCCTGCTTGTAAATTAATTTCAATGCTTCTCTTATGCTGTTATATTTATAAACGTCACTCTGTAAAATGATTACCGGTACTAAAACTGTCCATTTCCATGCAATTTTGTAATTAGAATGCTGTATGTTTTTATTCTGTACAATGTAAGAAATGTAAACATATTGATAATGACTGTACATACTTCGAAACGAGTTTTTACTACTGTTATCGGAATTAAGAAGGCTCCAGACGTAGATCTTGCTGTAACACCTAATAACATGGCTTCTGTAGGTGTAAGTGGATCTTTTAAATGGAATGTGTGTTTTAACCAATGTATCGATGAGAAATATAATCCAACGCCAGGAATAACTCTGGTTATGGACTGAAAAGAAATGTTTTTAATCAGTGTTCCTTTTTAACGCGATTAAATTCAGCGATCGTTAAATTCTTACCGGAGTCATACCCCTCCAAAGTCCAAACACATTTTCTTTTTTAATTATGTGGATTATCGTGTTGACTGTTCCTCTGTTCGGAGAACTAATTTTAAAAAAAACGTGATATCGAATGAAATCAGTTTTACAAAAAATGATTAAAAAATTCGGAATCTTTTATTTTCCACTTACCCAAGTTGAAGTTCTACTCTACTTTGAAGTCTTGTTTTGATTAGATCCAATGGTTGAAATAAAATAGTTGAAAAAGTACCAGACACTGATCCCGCAAGGAAAGACTTCAAAATGGGATACTAAAAAGAATATAAAACATTTTTTTTTATTAAATTATATCCCCCTTATAAAATATTTGAAAGATCTGGTTATACAAATAATTCTACACTTGTTTCATTTGTAAAGATAAAGCATATATTTTTAAAAACACTGTATAATGAAATATATGTAGATGTTGATATACCAGCAGCTAACATTGCAATAAATATATCATTACATATTATCTTGCACGAGTTTGCTCTCGTGAGTTATAAATTTTATTTAAAAGGTCAATATAGTCATTATCTACAGAATGGAGGTCCATGGGTTATCGTTAATTATGAGAATAATTTATTCTTTCTTAAACGCATGATGTACTAATTATATATGCTACTTGTCGATTACTTTGAATAACATACATGTAGTGAACTAGAATTGACTGTATTTCATAGAACAACTTTAATATTTGCATTTACGTGATAATCTGTTATATTATAATATTATAAAACAATAATAATTTCTATATTTTGATATCTTATTAATTTAATATAACTAGAAAGTTATTTTCATAATACAAATAATTCCAAAAATATAAAACTATATCAGGAGAAAGAATGGATTTCTATCAAATTTTGTTCCTCGTTTTATTAAAATTTGTTGAAACTGTAAGTGCATTTAATTTTATGATAGTTTAATGTTTGTAACAGTCGTAGAATAGATAATTTTTTATTTTTTTTTTCAGCTTATACTTGTAAATTTGGGACATCAAACTCGCAAACTCATAATGCAAACGAACGCATGCGATACTATGTGGTGGATACAGCTCCATGTATATCATCCATCCTCCACTACACCTCTTATAATTAGAGGTATTTCTTACTCAAATACTAATACTATTTTCGTTTCATTCAATATTCTATTTTTCGGAAATAAATTTTATATAATATAATTGAAATTCCAATTAATCAATTTAGTTTTTTTTTATTATCGAATTAATCGAATTAATCGAATTTTATTTAAAAAATAATATCTTTTGATACAATTAAAGTTTGTCGGATGGAGTAATACCACAGAATATTCATAGTTTTATCCATGTCTATAATTCTATTAATTTTATCATTCGTGTTATTAAAACCTTACATTATGAATATTATAGTACAGAAGGAGTTATATCTCAGAATTATTAAGGCTGAGATACTTACAATTCCTAAAGCATCCATGGTGATACAAAATGTACTGGAAGCTTGGAAAATAAATATATGTGGAATTGCAATAAAATTGAACTTTTTCTTAGTAAACCATGACACCAAGGATACACCTTTCTTTCTTAATACTGCGTTTAGTGTCAGTAAGATACTGAGTACATTGAAAACGTGACAGCTACTTACATCTTCTCTTATCTTCGTTTCACCACTTTCGGGGTCAACAGAATAACCCTGCATATCAAAACATACTCGAACAAAAAGTCCAATAATATCAAACTGAAACGTGATTTAAACGTGACTTAATGCAAAACGTGACTTGTTTCATTACATGATCAATCTAAATATATATAAATAACAAAACATTATTTGTTGTATGTGTTGATTTCAACAATTGTAATACGTATCCGTTTAATATAGTAAAATACACTTATTTAATACAAAATTTATTTGTTTATAAAACTGTTAATTTTACGGAATTTGTTATATTATATTTTTTAATCTAACGAAAAATATAAAATACAAAGCAGTTATTTATAAATAATATGTATACATATGTCTTCATAATTTTTACAATAATGGTACAATTGCTTATAATTATTAAAAAAAATATCGACATAAATACATGGGTTAGGTTTTTGGGCAAAATCCCCTCTTAAACATTTTAATTAGGTTAGAACTAAGAATATTAAAAACCAAGAATTTATGTATCATCACAGTTCAATTCGTATTTACTTTTATTCCTTTATAATTTTATAATTATTTATTTGTGATTCTTACACAATATAAATATAATTGTAAAAACACGTATTTCGTACGTAATAAAAGCACACCAATAACACAAAGGTTATCGATAATATAGGGAAAAATAACGTGACTGATAAAATTTTTCGTTATCATTTACTGCTACAAATCCATTGTGTCCAAGTTAATACTCTTGATATTTATTGATGATTAGTATGTATGTATGTATGTGCGTGATCATATATAACCAATGACGTATTGTTTGTATCAAATCTATAGTTGCATTTCTCTATTAGAAACGATTATCAGTAATCTGTATATACATATGGATTGTCTAAAATAGATGAAACTTAAAACAAAAGTATTCAAAATTTCATTTTAAATAGTAGTCGTTCAAAAACTACATACAAATAAAATAATGTTTTATCTTCATTATAATGAATCAGACTTGATCAAAAATAAATTTTCGTTTATTTTATGTTATACTGATTTATATTTCAATATTATGGAATAATTTTCTCCGAGTTGCCGTGAAATAAATAATTATATTTATTTGCAGTAGTTCTACGACCATTTTAATAGTGGTGTAGGTTATTTGTTTATTAGATTTGTTCATAAACTAACTTTTGTTCACGGACTTTTGTTCATTCTTAATAGATACTAATTTATCAATGAATTTATGTACATATGAAATGTACATTGAAGTTAGTTCACGAATCAATCTAAAATGTGTCGAACTCTGTTATTAGTTCAGTGGAAACATGTAGAACTATATTGCTTTGATCGAAAAACGCGCTACTTTAGAATAGTTTGAACTTCCGGTATGAGCGCTGCATTCGCTTCACAAATTCATTTCCGCACGATGGAATCGGCCATTTCTTTTCCAAGTGTAACGTAGCGCGGTCGTCCTCCTTGTGTAGCTGAGTAAGTTAAAAACTCCCGAAAATTTCTTTGATTTATTTTCATTTATGCGCGAAATATTGTGAACATCGCTAGTAGAATACATTTATTTAAAAAATGCTTGAATCGAAATAACATTTGTCTTCGAATTTGTAGCATCTTATAACCAAACTTGTGATTCCACCACGTGCTCATTAATTTTTACTTTACATTAAAATACAATATTATACTGATTCAATAACTGTAATTATCATACATAAGTTCAAACTTTCTGCGTGAAATAATATTAGATTTTGATGAAACGTATTTATATTTATTATTAAATTTATATTCAATAGCGACGGCACAAAATGGTGAACGGACGAATTCCGTCGGTCTTTTCGAAGACTTACGTTACGCCTAGGAGACCTTATGAAAAGGCTCGTCTAGATCAGGAATTACGAATTATTGGTGAATATGGTCTTCGTAACAAACGAGAAGTGTGGAGAGTCAAATATACTCTGGCAAATATCAGAAAAGCTGCTCGTGAGCTTCTCACATTAGAAGAGAAGGATCCTAAACGTTTGTTCGAAGGTATTGTTGAAATAAATTTATATTAACTTGTTCCAATAGTCGAACTTTTTTTACCATAAAAATACTGATGATACATACATTTACATTATTCTGACACCTCTTGTCTGATAATTTTTGATGACATATTGTTTATACTGATTAAACAATAGACTATTATTTTACTTAATATGCTTTTACTATTTTCTAACCAAAATTTGTATTTATTAGGAAATGCTCTTTTACGTCGTTTGGTAAGAATCGGTGTATTGGGCGAGAGTCATATGAAACTTGATTACGTTCTTGGTTTGAAGATTGAAGATTTCTTGGAGAGGCGTCTCCAAACTCAAGTATTCAAATTGGGACTAGCCAAGTCTATTCATCATGCTCGTGTACTCATTCGTCAACGTCACATTCGGTAGGTTCTTTGAAATATGGATGCTTAGCATGCCTTAAAAAATGGGCAAGAAATATCTGATCACACGCAGATTATTTCTAATCTTTAAGGCAATATTAAAATCCTGAATAATCTCCAGATTAGAACTATTTAATACTATTCTGGTTTCATGCCCAGGAGACATCGATTTCTTTACTTTTTGTATATATAACTTATATTCTCGCCCTGTGTTAAATATTTGTACAATTTGAAAATAATAGTCTTTTGACTACTGCAGGTATCCGAACCCTTTGCCCGATTGATTGTCCAAAGTATTTAAAAAAACATGACTTTAAATATGGATGGGCAATTACGATGTTTAAGAATCTTCACCGCTATTGAATTGATTAGATTAAATGTTGAGAGCTGTTTTTATTTCAGGCAGGCCACTTAAGTGCCAGAATACTGACACTTAATGTCTGTCATTACAATAATGGACTTGCACGCATTAACGATAATCGGTATACTCTTTGTGTATTAAATATAGCTTCTTTGTATGATGTATTGAAGTTTCAGAAATATAAGATATTGAAGAACATGGGCGTCGGACATGAAATATATATATACTGTTTCAGAGTGCGTAAACAAGTGGTGAACATTCCATCCTTCATCGTACGTTTAGATTCGCAAAAACACATTGACTTCTCGCTGAAGTCGCCGTTCGGTGGTGGTAGACCCGGTCGTGTAAAGAGGAAGAATCTGCGTAAGGGAAGTGGTGGAGCTGCTCCCGAGGAAGAAGAAGATTAAATCATATTTTGATGTAATACTTTAATAAAAGTATACCTTGATTATTTAAAAAAAATTACAATTATAACTGAACTTAACTAGAAAAGACCTCAACTTTCAAACTTCGATTTCATTAAGCTCTTCAAAGTTGGTAGCATACAAGTTCCTAATGCTATGTGTGAAATATTTGGTATAGTTGGTATTTTTACATTCGTGACATCTTTGGGTTTACAAAATAATTGTTTTTTCCTTGACTACTTTCATACTCTGATTATACTGTAAAATACGATAATACTTTCTAATTTGAAAGTTAAACGAATAACTTCCCAATGATGAAACTCTAGTGATACATCACAGTTGTCCTCGCGCCATACAATTTTACTAGCTTCAATTTTCAAGATATAAATTTTAATTTGTATAACAAAGCTTTTTCGTAATATAAGTTAAAACATCTTCATTTAGCGGCCAGATGAATAATTTTTGGCGCGATTCGTACAATTTTATGAATGAAATTTTGAAAACATCATAAAATAATGATGCATAGTATTTTGAAGCTGGAAAACAAGGAAACAAAATTAAAATATATAACACGATTTCGCAAGTAAATTACTAAATAGAAAAAGTTTGATCGAGATTTTTACATACCCTTGAAAATTTGCATTGCACAAATTATTTGAATGTTCTTTTTAATGTTCCATTTCATGACCCTCATGATTATCATGTAGTTTATTTGGATTATATGTTACAAAAAATGTTATGCACCAAGTAAAAAAGAGACAAACCAAAGTAAGAAACGCTATAGCATTAAATTTATCCCAACTAAATATTAGTTCGTTAACAGTCTTAAATTCTCTTCTAAGTTTACTTCTCGAATTCATATTCCAAACTCTTTTTGTGGATTGATTATTAGATTCCATTTTCAATTTTCGTTGATCAAATTTACTTTCCGATTGATACTCAAAATGATCGAACATTGAATTATGCCCCACAATATATAGAAAGGTCTGATTAGATAAGGATTAAGTAGATTAGATCGTTCTCTGCAATAAAAGTAGCAATTTAAAAAATTGCACTTAAAGAGGACATTTACTAGAAGTATAATGATATTATTAATTTGTTTGTAATCGTAATTTATTTCATCAATTACAGAATTAAGTATGAAAGTACATCTTTTCGGTACACAGTGTTGAAAATATTTGCGTTTATTAATTTGGCACTCTTATTCTATCGCATTCTCGTCGAGAATCTCGTCTCTAGTAAAAAAGAAGCAAAAAAGAATGTCCCGAATAGTGATCTTGTAACGAATAAATACTGTAAATTCTGAAATAGAACCTTCGTATCGTGAAAGAGAAAGTTCTATCGAATATCCAGTCTATTAGCTATACACATATTTCGTCTGTAATATAACCTCAGCGTGTAAAAATATACACTTTGTAACATCTTTCAAGTGCCCATCATTTTACAGGAATTGAAGAAATTACAATCGAATAATATTTGTATAATAATTTCTAGCAATATCTCGTAAAAATTATATTTTGCTTGCATGTGATCGTAAGATTTATAGTTTGTACATTATTGCATATCACAACGATTATGAATATTGTATTGTAAATATTTTAATTTGATTAATATAAACAAATTAACTGACTGCAATAAAATAGGAAATTTTATCGCACATAAGATGAAAGTTGTACCAGTCTGCCATTTGGTAACACTGATCAAGCCTGAAAACGTGTTGATTCAAACTTATTAAAACATATTAATCGGGATTTATATGTGACCTTTGCATCTAACACTCTTCTTATGTATATCTAAATGTTTAGCTATTAAATGTAAATCTAGATAATAAAATAAGTTCAACAAAATTCGTACTTGTCGCGTTATATCTATTACGCTTTGCTATTATTATTTTATATAAAAGTTAATCAATGCTGTTCGTTGGATCAGTAGGTAAATATATGCAAAGAAAATTATTGAAGGTAGAAAAAGTATCAAAGTAGGCGCGGATACTGACATTGGTCAGTACTCAGTATTATTCATACGAATTTAATAGATATAACTTTGACCATTTCCACCTCTCAAAGGTTGCATCAAATGCAAATAGGCGACTTGCTGCCATTTTCAGTTGATACTCTGCGAGGTGAGAGGTTTCCAAGATGGCGAAGAAATCGTTGGTGGATAAAACGCCTCAGAACGAAGATTTTTTAAAAAATAACGACGATATACTGAACGATGACGAGGAACCAAATTTTAGCGATCCCGAAGGATTTGTCGACGATATCACCGACGAAGGTAAATGCATTCTTTCGCAAGTGACGTTCGATAAAATCTGCATTATGATTGAAGGCATGGCTACGTGTAGTCGCAAATGTGGCACGCGAACCTAACCTTAAAAATCACGAGTATGTTATTTTTCTGACGACGAGAAGTGTTGAATTTTAATATATGTGCTATGATGGGAATTGTGATAATACGTTATTAGAAATGAGAGATAAATGTTAACGTTTCTACGTTTGCAGAACTCCTCGGTGATATTTTGAAGCAAAAACCGTCCGAGACAGATGGAGTGGAATCGGTTATTGTTGTCGATGGGGTCCCCCAAGTTGAACCAGAGAGATTGGAGAAACTTCAATCTGTTATTACCAAAATTTTAGGGAAATCTGGAACAATAGTGAACCAATATTATCCAAAAAATGAGAACGGATATACGAAAGGGTGGGTTTTTAATTTCTTTAACACTTTTGCACTGGAATGATTAATAATCGTTTTGTTTAAAAAGTGCAGTACTCACTCACAGTACATCTGTTTAAAATTTATATAGAAACGTCTTTTAGCTTGTTTCGTATTACCACAGACAGTTTAGTAAAAGTGAATCAATTCCAGTGCAAGTAGTCGATACTTAATACAGAATCTGTTGTAGATTTAGAAATATACATAATTTATTTCATTCTAGGTATATATTTCTAGAATATAATAACCCTCTTAATGCTTTAGCAGCTGCTCAATCTGTAAATAATTACAAAATTGACAAGTTACATACGTTTAAAGTAAATTTATTTACCGATTTCAAAAAATTTGAAGAAATTCCAGATGAGTGGGAACCACCAAAACCACAGCCATTCAAAGCATCGACAGATTTACACTATTATCTTTTAGAACCAGACGCTTATGACCAATTTTGCGTACTTTATGGAAATGGTCCTTCCGTTACCGTTCAGGTTTGGCTGAATTCCGCCCCTGAACCGACGTTGGTCGAAGATCGTTCCGTAAGTTACCATACATTTTAGATCAGGTTAGTTTCACCGTTAATTTTCTGTTCATTAAAAATTATGTTCCCAACAGCGTTGGACGGAGACATATGTTAAATGGTCACCGTTAGGAACGTATTTGTCAACGTTTCACAAACAAGGTGTTGCGTTATGGGGTGGTCAAGAATTCGAGCAAAAAGCAAAATTCAATCAGAAGGGTGTCGAGTGTATCGATTTCTCACCTTGTGAACGTTACTTGGTAACATATACACCTCGAACCGATCTTGGTGCCGATCAGAAACGTCTCGTCATTTGGGATATCCTTACCGTTAAGGAGAAACGTTCATTTTACGCAGATGGTTCTTCGGTGTGGCCTATTTTCCGTTGGTCACACGATGATAAATATCTTGCTCGTATGGGAGAAGATATCTTGAGCGTTTACGAAACACCCGTATGTTTCTATTTTTTTACATAACACGGCATAATAACCGATCTTTTAAATCTGGATAAATTTATTTATTATAAATGTTGCAGTCGTTTGGATTATTGGACAAGAAAAGTATAAAAATCCCCGGAATCAGGGATTTCAGTTGGTCTCCAACAGATAATGTCCTTGCTTATTGGGTACCGGAAGACAAAGATGTGCCAGCTAGAGTCACCCTTCTTGAAATTCCAAAGTAATAATTTCAATTGTTTTGCCATGTATTTACTTTGTTGTAAAATTATTAATCATTGTAATCGATGATTTCAGCCGTATTGAAACGCGTAACAAAAACTTGTTTAATGTGGCCGACTGTAAGATTTATTGGCAAAAGTCGGGTGATTATCTTTGCGTGAAAGTCGATCGTTTTGCCAAGCGTAAAGAGAAAACTGAACAGAAGTATATGGTATTTAATTTACTGTTTCTTGAACATGATAGAAAATACAAATCGCGCGTATAATTTCTACTGTTGTTACCAGGGTATGTCATACAATTTTGAAATCTTTCATATGAGAGAGAAACAAATTCCGGTCGACAGTGTAGAAATAAAGGAACCGATCCATGCATTCGCTTGGGAACCTGTTGGAAGCAAATTTGCTATCATTCACGGAGAGATCCCAAGTGTTAATGTCAGCTTCTACGAAGTGCGATATGGCCATCAGCCTGCTCTTCTCAGTAAGTCTCATATAGCGCTATGAATAACGTCAGTAACGTAAATAATTGTATCGTGTATTATATAACACTTGTTTTATTTAACAGAAAAATTGGAGAAAAAAGCTTGCAATCATTTGTTCTGGTCACCGTCTGGGCAATTTATTGTTCTTGCTGGATTGACAACCATGGCGGGAGCTTTAGAATTTATCGATACTAATGATTTTACTATTATGAACTCGACCGATCATTACCAAACTTCAGACGTGGAATGGGACCCTACCGGGCGGTTAGCATACACTTCTTTAGTTTACCAGTCAGATAAATTGTATCGCGAAAGTCACGCAAACACGTATTTCGTTGCAGATATGTTGTAACAGCAGTTTCCAGTTGGAAAACTAGCGTCGATAATGGATACTGGATATGGACATTCCAAGGTCGTATCTTAAAAAGAGTTAATCTAAACCAATTCAATCAATTGCTATGGCGGCCGAGACCGGCAACGTTATTGACGCCAGAGCAAATTAAAGAAATTAAGAAAAATCTGAAGAAGTATTCTGCGCAATTCGAGAGCAAAGATCGCATGCGATTAACGCGCGCTTCGAAGGTACTAGGCTTAATTTTAATTGGCATACATTTAACGGAAACACATTACATATTACTAACTAATCATGTTACTAACTTTTATAGGAATTAATTGAAAAACGCTGTGCAGCGATGAAATCATTCGAGGAGTACCGTTCGAAACGTATCGAAGAGTGGAATAGCCAGAAAAAGCGACGTTTAGAATTACGCGATAGTACGTATAAATATAACAAATTTTTTTTTTCCAGCTTCGAACGCAGGATGTTTGGAGTGCAGTATCGAAACCATTTTTTTTTTTTTCAGATATCGATACTGATGAATTAGATTCCGATTCCAAGAACGTTGAGGAGGAAGTGATCGAATTTTTCGTCAAAGAGGAAATATTCTTTCTCGACGATAAATAAAACTGTGGGGGAAAATTTCTTGTCTGCCATTTTTGGAAATCTCTAGTGCAAAACCGATTCAGTAATTTGTGCAAAGTGTCATCGAAACAATTATCTGCGAGAGTCGCATTAATTGTGACTCCTAATAGTGAACAATGACTATTCTAAGTGGTTACGAACAGTTTCTCTTATATAATTTCTGCACTCTAATTGGAATTGCTTCCATTATTTCGACGTTTCGTATAAAACGTCGCAATCATAGTACTATAAAGTTTTATCACGTTCCATACAGAATAGTATGTCAATCAACAAATAATTATTATTATTATAACCACACGCAACGTACTTTTTATTTATCGAACCCATACAGCTCGATCTATAGAATCGATCATACATATTAACGGTAAAGGACATTTAGTTCTTTTTTTTTTTTTATTTATATTTTTTCACTTAATTTTAAACAGTGAATTAACAACTTCATCGATTATTTAAATCTTCATTTTGTACTAGAAGCACATCTTTTAATTCATGTACGAGCATCGTTAAAAAAAAACGACTATAAATTAATTCTATTCTTGTATAAATTAAGTATAATTTAAATTACGTACGGCGGACATTCCACAGGTATAACATATATATTATTTAAAAATAATATCGAAATAGGACCACTAAGGCACATATCCATGTTGGCGGAATTCTATCTTGTTCGAAAAATGTTTTTTTTGTTACTGGCTTTGCGCATGAAAATAAACGTTCGTGTTCCTTTTGTAATTCATTTTGTAGCTTTTGATTTTTTGTCACCACAGCAATCTGAGTCTCTAAATCTTTTTTTACTGACCTGTAACCTAATTATATATGTATACATATATATATATATATATAATTTTTAATTCCCAATAACTGTTTGATTTCTAAATTTTTTAATGTAACTTACCAAAATTAGGCGATCCAATAAGTGTGAGACAAGGCTTTTCTTGACCTGGTAAAGAATACCATAATCCTTTCGCGTGGTACGTCCATCCTGGTCTAATAAATTCCCATAAAGTCACACGTTTTTGTTGGCCCATTCGATTACAATGTTTGATAAATGATTTTTCTATTTTAGTATACGCTGCTGGAACGCCACCAGCGATACCATTGGCACCTAAACACGATATTTATCTCATTTACATTAATTGAAAAGACTATGAATTCTTCACCACTTTAATTTTACAAAGCTAACTTACAAAAGAAACCATTGGCAGTTGGATGTGCTGTTAAAAGATGACACGTTCCTTGACAGTCTCTAAGCAACGCGTTGCTGTATTCGGAAGTTAAATTAAAATAGCCAGTTGCTAATCTAAGTGTTGTACCTGGTGGTGTCGTTTGTAAGAGTTTTAACGTTATATGACTATCATGGTGAATATTTAGTTGACCCATTTGTATCAAGGGGAAGACCCAAGTGTCTGTATTCGAAACTGTTTCTTCTAAAATATTTTAAATTAAATTCTCGTTTCAGATTATTCCTTTAGAAATGTATCTATAATTAAATAAAATAACTGTACATAGATATATATCTAAAATAAAAATATATATACCTATATTTTCAAAATTAGAGCGTTCTAATTCCTTTTGGAAAAATGTTCTCACGCTATCAGCGGCTTTTTCGATAAACTTTTTGGCGGGATCTTTAAAGGGATGAACATTTGCGGCAGAATTTAATACTGTAGTTCCATTTGGCTGAAGTAAAAAGCTAAATTCTCCTACCCTTTCGACTAATTCGTTATAAAAATCGCAAAGTGCCTTGCAATCGTCAATTACGAAATAACGGTCTTGTCGGTTTGTAAAATAATCATTGCTAAGATTAGCACTAAAAAAAAAAATTGCTCGACATAATTTCTGCGGACATACGATTACGTACTTAAATATTTCTAAGAAAAAATAAATATAGATAACTACCCGCTAATTATTATATCATTATCTATTAAATATAATTTCATGTGTTGCAGTCCTACTAGCTCATTAAAGCGATCTGGCATTATCATCTTTAACAGTCCTCGAAGTTTAGGTGTATGGTAGAGGAAAATCTGACAACAGTGACCATATTTTCCATTAAGCAAAGTTTCCAACATTTTACACGAATTCAATTTACCTCTGGTGCCTCTCATAAAATCCAATAAAATTTTAACCTCTACATTACCATCACTTAGATTTAATGCTTGATCTATAGCTTTTACCTATGCATAAAAACATTTTATCAAGCTTGACAAACCTTTTCGTAATATCACCGGTATTCTTAAATTTTTATTTAACGAGATATTTGTTGAGCATTCTTACTAAATCAGATTCTAATTTTCCTGTGCCTAAATACAAGGATGCAAATGTGATTCTTTTCTTTGCGTTTTTACACTTTTCTATGAGAGTGGAATAAAATACGCTAGGTTCGTGAATGATCTTAATCTGAAAAGAGAAGAATCATTATTCTGCATCTTTCTTCGATATAAAAAGGTGTTTGTTTCGTTTGATACCTTAGATCCATTTATAGGAAAGCACGGTGCAGTTTTGTATAACCAAGACAAAGTATGCAATTCCGACTGCATTGTATTTACTTGAAAAATTTTTTCCTCGTCTATTAAAGCGACCTGTGTGATGTTTCTCATTACAGACGAATTTGTATAAGAGGATTTTAATTCCGTTTGACTACTTATTAACAGCTTCCTTGTATGAAACCTGGAATTAGATTTTGATAAAAAGACACAATATTTTAACATATTGCGAAATTTTGTAACATATAACTAGGGATAAACATAACGGTATACTTAAATACAGAAATTGCATCAGTTCCATTTATGAAATATCGAATCAACCTATTTGAACGAAATATAATCAAAATTGTATCAACATGGCTACGAATAATATTTTTGTGTTCAAATATTATATTAGTGTCAATATATTTTTGGGTAGATTGTATTTTGTTCAAATATTTGTTAATATTTCTTAAGGTTGGACGAATGTTCAAGGAAAAACATCGTTCCTTTTTACGTCAAATTTATGTATTAAGGTTAAAGTACGTTTATTTATCTTTGAACTTTTAAAATTCAATATGATATATATGTGAGAATTTTTTGCATTCTGCTCACCGTTTTAAGTTTTTAAAAATCGCACTGTGCATGAGTGATATCTCGAATAACAGATCATTAATACATAAACGGTTTTACTCGCAAACTGAACCGTTCCCTCACGATTAGAAAATTGTTACGCGCGCAATCTTTTGGATTCTCCATGCATCATACAAAATCGCGTATGTACTTCTTCTTTCAGCTCGGCGTTAGAAATAGAACAAATTTTCCATAATCGATTCATTTTACATCATATTTATACCTTAAACAGATATAAAAAATAGCGCTGAAGCTTTTCAATGCATGAAAGATTCTCAAAATAATTTTTACATCGAAGGTTGGATAAAAAACAGAAAAGCATTTATGTATTTCCAAATTCAATAATCAAAGAATGTTTGGGATCTATTATTGTTACTCTTAAAATTCGTTTGACCGAATTACTATCAACCAGAGTTAAACAAATGTTCACGAGTAACGAATACGAATTTTAGATCGATTTACAAACTGACTTCTATGTTCATTTAATTCATAAATTCATTCGTAGATTAGTGTCTATTAACGAATTTTTCCATGTGGTTTCAAATTCCTAAGTGACATTTTACAAAATTTATTAATGAATTTACGAATTAAATGCAAGCAGAAGTTTACGAACGAATCTAAAATTTATATTCGTTATTCGCGTATAAAATTTGTTTAACTCTAGTACATTGTCGTTTGTAATGTGTCGAATATATATATAGTTTGAACGTCTGAATCTTATTTCAAATAAATTGGCAACAATTTACTTATTTCAAGTAAATTGTTATGGAGCGCCAGTATGGCCAGATTTGCCATAATTGACATTGAGCGCATCGACGGTGACTCTAGTAACGACGAATTTCCTTAGCGTCTAACAGAATGGTGGGGAAAGCCGACATGACCAGGTCATGATGACCTACCGCACGAGCCATGTGCTCGTTCATAGGAATAATGCAAAAAAATTTCTTTCTTTCGATAATTCAAATCTGATCATTAAAAAGAAATTCCTCCAATTTTATTATGGTACTTTGCTTAATGTGTGCCTATATGTATAGATCAGAACGTAAAAATGTTTAGGCAGTCGAGATTCGAAGTTGTATCGTTGCATGTTATTGACGCGAGATTGGACGTCGGACTTTAGCTGTTCAAGAGCAAGAAGGAAAGGCTCACGCTCGCCTTCTTTCTCGATTTCTCAAAGTTACTCAAAGTATCGAGCTCGCGTACTTAAGTAGGTACTTAGGTAGACATGGCTCGTGCGGTAGGTCATCATGACCTGGTCATGTCGGCTTCCCCCACCACTCCGTTAGACGCTAAGGTAGTTCGTCGTTACTAGTGTCGCCGTCTATGCGCTCAGTTACGCGAAATCTGGTCACATCGTGGAGCGCCTCTTTACGGAGGTACTCGGAGTTAGTGGTCGATAGAAAATAAAGACAGGCAGGGGTTGATCGTAGAAGATTTGTATCGAAACGGACGTAAAAATGGATTTCAATGTTAAGAAATTGGTAAAAGATGCTGGTGCCGCGCTCAGCAGAGTTGTGCAGGTGAGAAATGCCCGCTACAATAATTTAACAAATTGTTATTGATACGAAAGCATTCCCGTTAAGTTAGTCGTAATTGAACGCTGTCATTTCTGACATTTTGTATTCTTTTCCAACGAGGAGAAAATTTTAAATACAATAACCGCTACCTGACTGTTCCTCTTACATTCTACTTTTACGAAATCGCGCACTTTATAATGCATTCTGTTTGCTAAATATAACGTGTACACTTTTCTCTGTAGTTCAAACTTAATTATTGAAAGCTAAGGTTAGTAAATATATCGAATTTCGATAATTGTGTACTATACTCTGCTGTTTTGCATTCGCATTGTTGTTAGGTAGTATCACTTGAGATTAACAAGTTTTGATTGTTATATGGATTTCTCTTGAACGTGTATAACGTCTGTGAGCTAAATAATTAATCATTCGATGACTCAGAACATATCAAATAAGTTGGAATGACTAAGACTTCTGTCCTCCTTTATTCACAGATCAATATTCTAGTATTTAAAAATATTGATGCATTTTTGACATAAAACTGAAAGATCTTGTTTGTTATTTTTATATTAAACGTAGAAAACTAAAATCATTAAAAAGAATATAATATTTTCCATGTTAGTAACGAAGTATTTAGGTTGGCTGGTACGTACAAAATCTATACATATTCTGAAAGGTGAGGTTTCAGTAATTGTTACTTTTGGAAACCATATTCTTAAACGAAGAATAACAAAGATGGTTTAAAAAGTTTCGTGTCGTGAATCAATATTCCTATATTTAAAAAAGTAACTACTGTTTCTTACTGAAAATTCCAACAGTACTTTTTGATCAACCTAATATATTCATGAAGTGAAATTTTATATTTTTATCTATTAAAATAGAAAAATCATGTAATACTCAATTGTTCTCTATAGTTAACGGAAGAAACATTAGGAACATCGGAGAAAACAGAATTAGATGCACACTTAGAGTATCTTTCAGAAAGGGCTAACTCAACTAAAACATGGACTGAAAAGATTCTTAGAAATATGGAGTCTGTACTTACTCCAAATCCAGGTGACAAAATTATTCAAATATAAATTTTAAGACAGCGTGATAAATTTAAAAGGTTTTTCTAAGCATTTATTGTACGATATGTTCGTTTGCAGGCAATAGAATTGAAGATTTCTTCTATGAGAAAATAGATAAGAAGAAGCCTAACAGGTTGACCAATTTAGAATATGTGGGCATGGACATGATAGAAGCTGGAAATAATTTTGGTCCAGGAATTGCTTATGGTACATACATACTTCCTATTTTAGATATATCATTGAAAATATTAATGTAAACTGACCTTTACTTATTTTCTCGTATTTTGTATTTTAGGTAGCGCATTAATAAAAGTTGGTCAATGCGAGCAGAAATTAGGACAAATAGAAAGAGACTTTATTGGTACTGCGGCTAATTGTTACATACAGCCCCTAAGGAAATTTTTGGAAGGCGAGATGAAAACTGTTAGCAAAGAAATGGCAATATTGGAAAATAAGCGGTATATATTCTGTTTTTCCCTCAAATTTAAGTGTTTAGTTTTAATTAAAATGTTATTTTCAGGCTGGATCTAGACGCGTGTAAGAACAGAGCAAGAAAAGCGAGAAGCATGCTGGGTCAGCAAAGTGTAAGTTCTATCATTTATCATTTTATTTATTATGTACTCTATATGTTTATTATGTGCTTTGTCCCGTACATTGCTGCATTTCATAGGAGTCTGGCGTATCACCCGAAGTGTTACTTGATCAGGTATTAATGCAGCTGATACCATTGACAACTCAAAATTCGTAGCTAATTGTTTTATTTGTATCTTCGACCGATAAGTATATACATACTTACGTACCATCCTAAATGATATCGTTTAAAAAGGTGTAATTATTCAATTCATAGCAATATGCACTTAATATGTGTACACGTTCCATGGATGACGTAAGCTTTGAAATTTATTCAATTCATTACATCATGCCATTTTAATATTTTTTATCTATCTCATAGTCAATCAGTATGAATGACGAACTACCTTATTAATTTTTATTCCATCTGTAATTGAATGCTTAATAATATTGACACGTTTTATCCGAGTGTCGTGCAATTACAGAATATTTTTATTTTAGTCAGGTTATTTGTCGCGTCTTTTATCATACAATACATATATGTATGTATTCAGTATTTTAATTGTATCTCAAGTATGAAATCATTCGAACGTTTGTTCTACGTTTCTATCGTAATAACGTTTATAAGGGTTGTAGGACTTTCCTTTTGAAATATACATTTAAGGAAACTAAAACGACGATATTTAGTTAGAAACAAGGAATAAAATTCTGTATTGCTCTACTCAGGCAGAGAGGGAGTTGAGGGTAGCACAGTCAGAATTCGATCGTCAGGCGGAGATTGTAAAATTATTGCTGGAAGGAGTGTCAAGTTCTCAGGCCGGCCATCTGCGTTGCTTGCATGAGTTTGTCGAAGCACAAGCGCGCCATTATGCTCAGTGCCACGCAACGATGCAAGACTTGCAGCGCGAACTAGCCGGGTAAGACAACGAATTTCATTTTCTACGTTCATTTTTATCGAAAGTATTTTTTAATTGTCCTGCACTATCCTTGTATAGCTATCCCACTCTCTGGTGATCCGAGTGAGTAATGTTTAATAACTATTGGATGCTTATGTCATGTACGACATATAAAAGCATTTAGAAGCAGCTCATAGAACCATTACTCATTCGCAAGGATCATCACGATCTGTACATAGTTGAAAAGTATTACTTTCTAGACCTCTGCTTATTTGTGCAAAAGTGATGTATGTAGTTGTCTCTTACTATTAATTTTCGTAATAGTAACTGTGTTCTCTTCTAAATATTTGAGCTTCACTATGAAAATGGTATCTTTGTTTCTCGTTGTTTCTCGTTACTAGCTCAATGCTTATTATTCTTGTTTAGTCCTCTAATGTGTTCTTTCTATTCTCTATCTTTGCTTGCATGATTGGGATTGCAGGGCGCGTCAGCCGAGTCCTTTGCTGCGAGTCAACAGCGAAGATGTGATCGAGCTAACCCCCTCACCCACACAATCCCAAAACTCGTCTATAAATCCACCACTAGCTGGTTCTACTTATGTTACTGCTACCTTTGATACTGACATTTCAAAAGTTTAGTCCTAGGAGCTACCGATCTCATTTAACGGCAATAATTAGTTATATTTACGATAAAAGTAACGAAGGGAAGCATAGGGTACAGAAACTTTTCTCTCTGATGTATAGGTACTTGTTAACTGATACAACGATCTATAGACTTGTTAAATAATTCTTAGTCTGTTATATCACTGTCTAATTTGTAACGATCAGCAATTAATTAATAAATTATGTTTACAAAATGTTTAATAACTGTTGTTACATTTTGCAAGAGGGAAAATTTTTAGTCCCGGTAGAGTTTATATTTGTAATATAAATAACATAATTAAGAGCACAGCTTTACTACTCTATTAATATTAAACGTATTCAATTGAATACTTAACAAACGTGCTATGTAGTTGATCAGTGTTTATTTTTAATGCATGGTAATTTAAATTAAATTGTTTGGTATTACCGAAGTATGTACTAAAGAGCAGTGTGTAGAATATATTGGTTTATGTTTCTACAACAATAAGGGATTTCTGTTAATAATTTTTCAGTGTGCATCTACTCTAACATTTTCCTCGTTTGTCTTACAAATGCTAATTTAATATTGTTTCTTCTAACTTGCTAAACTGCTTATGCCTCAACTTTTTTGTTCATATAATTTTTTAACCAGTTTAGGTTATATTCAGCGTATACATTATATATACTGCCGTTTATAAATATGAGGGCGCTTGGTCGAAACATTGTTAATCATTGGATTGTTACAACTTCAAGAAAAGAAGTCCAATAAGATTGGTTAAACCTTTATTGTACTTCTTCTCTTGGAGTTATAATAATCCAAGGATTAACAACATTCCGGCTAAGTGTAATATTTATGATTGTATATCGTATATATCTTTGCTGCAAATAATAAAAATTCGCGCGAACTCTGAAGTTATTTGAAAAACAAAATTCATGGAGTCTCGATATAGTTCGAATCGTAATTAGTAGACTTAAAAAATTCCATCGAAAGTTACTTATAAGTTGACATATTTGCTTGAATTTTAAAAACATGTTTACCAAACTCATCCGAATTGTAATTTACCCCTACCCAGCTTATCTGGGGGTCCTTATCACCCCACTACCCCACCAACCTCCAATGTACCAGCGGAAAATGGTCAAGAACGCGCAAGGGTACTATACGATTACGATGCGAGGGATTCTAACGAATTAAGCGTCATGCAAGACGAGGTAACGAAATTTGTAATTTAAATAAACAGAGGCATGCTTGCAACATAACAGAACAAATGGCATGAACCATTACTGAGAGTAAGTTCCATTTATATGCTTCTTTGGTTATCAAACTTTTGACAATTTATTCGAGAGACGTATTTTGTAATTTGGCTAATTTTTTTTTCTATTTAATTTAAATCCGTAGCTTAGAGTTCTATTAGTAGTAAGCGCTAATGGTGCATTCCTTAGAAATACGTAGCTTCACACAATGAAAATAATTGCGTATCACGACTGTTTAATTCAGCGCAATGTTTTCCAATTTGTTGTGAACGTTATGAAAAATATGTAGAAGCCGTCGGTAGTGTTCGTATACTTTCATACCATACTATTGTTCTGTTTGAAATTGACACGTTCTTGTAACATGTAAAATAGGAATAGATTGTTGAAAAGGCAGCAGTGTAAATAAATTTCTATACATACGTATGTCATACAATTGTTGCAAGATGTTGTAAAGTAAAGAAAGGTATAAATATGTTGGGATTATAGATAATACTCAAATAAAATTAGTCCTTTTATATATCAGAATTTGCATTTTTATAAACTTGGCATTATACTTCTGCGAAGAAACGTGCATGATATTTGTAATTTAGTTTTTAAGTTTTATGTATGTACATTAGCTTTCCTATTTTTTTTTTGTTAAATTTATTCTTGCTGTTTATTACACGTCTGTTCTAATTCGTCTGTATATTTGTTTGGTATAAAGAATTTTTGTTATGCATATAGTAAATTATGTATAAACAAACGCATATGTACATTTATTCAAACTCTGCATGTACTAAATAAATATATCATTACGTTTGTCGAATGTATTTTATTTGTTTAAAACCTTAAATATCTTTTCAGCTTTCTTCGTCAGTTAACTTCAGCTTTTTTAATTTGACAATTTTTAGATATTTTTAGTTCTTTGTAAATTACAATTTGAAAGGCAAATATATCGATTATTAATACGTTTAAAGTATTTCACAAAATTTAACTCTACATTTTAGGTAATCACTGTCTTTGAAATACCCAACGACGAAGACTACATTATGGGTATACGAGGAAATCAACGAGGAAAAGTGCCGAAAGCATATTTAGAAATGTTAATTGTTTGTCAATGAAAATTATATTAATGTTATAGTGCACATTCCATTACATTTTAACGTTTTGCACTATCTCAAACTAGTTCCATTCTGTGCAATAGGTTGGATTACCCTTACTTTTTTTAAACATAAATACAAAGCAATACTCTATCTATTGCTTTTTCCTCTAAGTATATGTGAATAATAAAAACTATTGTAAAAAAAAAATAATCCGCAAGTTGCATATAAAAAAAAATGGTCAATTGTGCTATTACAGCAAAAATATATATAAAAAAAATTTATATAATGTTTCTTTTTATAAGCTAATTGCTGCTAAAAAGATTATAATTATAGACGTTGTATGTTGAAACCTACTATAAAATAAATAGAATTAATAATTCATTTTGAGAAATAAAGTTATCAACGGATTTTGATTTATAAATTTATTGATAAGCAATGAAATATAAAATTACTTCTTTTTCGATACACCCACTGTACGTCCACGACGACCAGTCGTCTTTGTGTGTTGACCACGCACGCGAAGACCCCAGTAATGACGCAAGCCTCTGTGTGCACGAATTTTCTTCATACGCTCCAAATCTTCACGAAGTTTAGAATCCAGGTTGGAACTGGTAAGCTAAAATAGAACAGAATTTTTTAAATGTTTCGGAACTGTATGAAATAAATATTAACACTGTATTTTAAGAAATCACATGTTGCACACTAATATCGTAATTTTTAGAATGTCAGTTAATTTGATAACATTAACAAGCAATCTGGTATGCAGTTTCTTTTGCACGAGCTACCAACTAATCGGTACATTAATTTCGTACGAATAGTCGTGAAGTCGTGCTACATACAAATATATAGTTATTAATGAATCAAAATTGAAGAATATTTAGTTAATTTTTAGTGTAATTTGATGATTGCACATACCTGTGAATATTTGCCATCAATGATGTCCTTTTGTCTATTTAAGAACCAATCGGGGATTTTGTATTGCCTAGGATTGGTCATTATAGTTACTATTTTCTCAACCTTAAAGAAAAGTTATATAAAATATAGTGTTATGAGAAATTAAACAATTAAATTAAGATTATCGAAGATTCACTGTAAGATGTTTTACGATAGTTCTATTCTACGCAAGACTAATATTATTTATAAATTAATTCTTACTTCTTCCTCAGAGCATTCTCCAGCACGTTTGTCCAAGTCGATATCAGCTTTTTTTAACACAATATTAGCATAACGACGACCGACACCTTTGATTGCTGTCATAGCAAACATAACTTTCCTGTTACCGTCAATATTCGTGCCCATGACACGAAGAATGTGCTGGAACTTCTCTGGAATTACGAGCGACTGGAAGACATAATAAAAGTATTAATCATCAACCAAAAATCCCGCGTCAATTTGCGAACATTGAGGTTAACACATGTCAAAAATATATATTAATTATTCTTCGTTCATTTTAAGACATTTTTCCATAACATAGCGTAGAAAAAAGTTAAGAAGCTCAGGGCTAAAAACGGTAAGAATTTATGATAGTATTCGATATAGTCATAATTCGTAAACATGACAGCAAATCGTAACAATTGTCCGTTACAACGATGATGCCTAAATTATATTCATTCGTAAAATTCTAAAATACTTTCAGATTCGATTACACGAACAACTGTTGCATGATATTTAGTTGAAATGTTTTATAAGTTATGTGGGATTGAAGTGAAAAATAAAGATTTCAATTATTAGAGACTGAAACTCACCATCTTGCCAGTCTCTGAAACGCCGAAAGAGACCTAACCGGAACCGGAAACTTCTTCCTACGGGGGGCGACGTAATGATCGATTATCGAAAGTACAAAGTTTCGTACATAAAGTAAAACTAAAATTGACTACGTACGGTTTAGTTTAGTGTATTTTATTACCCTTTTCTTAATATAAAAGCAAGTAACTAATTCTAGGCCTTCAAAAATTGCTACTCAGCAAGTGTGTTGAAAGGACTAGAAACACGAGAAGAGGCCGCTAAAATCAGCTCCGAATTTTCAGGTCGGTATGGCAGTCAGATTCGACCGCGAAAATCCATAAGGTGAAAGGTCTACTCGTATGTTCCGTCTCTGGTGAAAGCATGGACGAGGTATACGAGTAGACCTTTCACCCAATGTATTTTTTCTGTTTTGTTGATGAGAATTTGGAGGCAAATTTTTTCTTAAAAAACTCTTTCGTTTATTGCTTTTTCGACGAACGATCGCTGGTCACGAAAGATTTTTACTAATGGAGGGTGGTTGGGATTCGGTTAGGGCGGGTCTCCATTCGCAGCAACCTCCACGTGGTGAGACCTGGGTAATATTATTTAGCGTTTAATTAATAATGTATCACTTTTAGCTGGGTAATGCAATTATTAATTAAAATCTAAATAATATTAGCAAATTGGCTGCGATCCGCTTTGCATAGGTCATCATAAATATAGAGCTTCTTCGTCAGATTAGTTTTGATTCTCATTGATTCATCAAAGATTCCAGAGTATTGTCACAGATGTGGTATAAAAGTAGATCCTTCATCCAATGTATTTTTGCGGCCTATTTTTATGGGGTCTCAAAATTCCATTACCATTTTCGTGTCATTCGCAACGTTACCAACAGATTCAGAAATGAATTTTAATCTCTTCCATAGTAAACTCACATGTTTTTACGCAACACTACGACTGTTTGCCTATCAATACTAATTCAGTGAATAGTTTCTCAACATGTGAAGTGGACGCTAAAATCACCTCCGAATTTTCCGGTCGGTATGGCAGTCAGATTGGGTCACGAAAATCCATAAGGTGAAAGGTCTACTCGTATACTTTGTCTATGGTGAATGGTCTACTCGTATACCTCGTCTGTGTTGAATGGTCTACTCGTATATCTCGTCTGTGATGCTATATTATCCACTGTCGGTATACTATCCTTTGCGAGCTTCCTTACCATTACCATTTCACAGTAACACCATCTTCCATAAGATGCATAGTCTATAAATGTCGTTTACCTTTTCTAAAACTCCGATTATTAAAGGATAGTTTCGATGTATAGAAAAAACTTATACATAATCATTCATTTTCTTAACACTTTACCGACCGGTAGCGGTTGATTAATCGGCTATCGGTCGGTAAGCGTTGGTCGGTAAAAAAGTTGATTAATACGCTATCGGTCGGTAAGTGTTGGCCGGTAAAAAAGTCGATTAATAGGCTATCGGTCGGTAATGTGTTAACACAAAACACTCTGATCCTTTACTGTTCTCTTATCCATCTAGGATCTTCGACATCGAAGTAATAAACTAAAAAATAGGCAGTTGTCGGGATTTTGCTCAATAATTTATAATATTTATAAATCTGATAGTTATTCATTATTCGTTGGCTAAATAAAAATGTGCTAAAGTCTGTTCGTGTAGCACGATTCATTAACGATCTTATTGTAGAATATCACTCTATTAAAGAGCTCAGAAAAACCGTAGAAAAAAGTTGCCGACGAAAAAGAGGGAGGATAGTGATATAAGATGGAATATTGCGGTGCTCGTTGTCAGTTTATTTAACGTATTTTGCTGCAGCACGGTGGATCAGTTCACGGTATATCGATAGTAATTATCGACCTTAATTATTATTAAGGTCATTGAGTCGTACATTACACCTTCACGTATTTATAATACTATCAATTAACAACAATTATCGACCTTGATTATTATTGAGTATAAAATTGCAAGAAATAATTCAGATTCTTGCATAATCGTTAGTACGATGGGAAAGGCGAAGAAATTCGTGTTAGTGAACTATTTTCAAAAGGATCCGAAACGAACGGATTTGCAATTGGTCGAGGAAGAGCTACCATCTCTCCAAAATGGAGGTAAATTTCGTTGGGTGTGTTTCTAATAGTATAACAAACCTTCGCGAGCTAGCATAATCAAGGGTTGACCATTGCTCTGTGATTCTGTATTTCATAGCATAGCAAAACTATATCGTTATAATTTAAAAATGTTCAATGTTCTCGGATTTACAAGAAAAGATATCCGTGTCATGGGTGTTATTCGCGATCTTGTCTTTATGCATTGCATTATATTTACATTAATGTGATGTTTATGAACCGAACGAATGATTTAATATCTTTCATACCAGCGGAACAGTACGATTACATAATACGGTTTATCGTTTATTGCCTGAAGTCATTGAAATTGCAAATTTTTATTACGCTTGCAAATACGAAGGTATACAAGTTCTATTTTTGCGATGTTATTCAATATCCAACGTAACTGTTACCACAATATCGTCTATTCCTTCGAATTTAATACCCCAACGGTTTCAAATGATTTCTAGAGATCCTCGTTCAGGCAGAATATCTTTCCGTGGATCCGTACATGCGCCCTTACACCGAGAGATATCCATTAGGTACTACGATGATCGGTGCACAAGTGGCTAAAATCATCGAATCGAGGAACTCGAGTTTCCCGGTTGGAAAAAGAGTTGTCGGCTACATGGGATGGAGGTCACACACGGTCCTTAATCCACAGAGATTCTCTGAGTCGAACCTTGTTGAGCAAAAGCCGCTTATCTTACCTGATATAGGGGATTTACCGCCGTCATTGTGTTTAGGGATGTTAGGAATGACAGGGTAAAAAATTGTATAGTCCGGGCCACGATATAGCGAGGTTGTAAACTAAACTCTCTTAGGCACTTAGGGTCGTACATGACATCTTGCTTGAGGGTGCCTTTCTCAATGTCTTTCTATGTCCATAACTGCACTATCTTTCTTCATTGTCTACATGCATATATTATAAGCAGGTAAATTAAGATGTTAACACTAGAACTACCAAACCAGTCAAAATCACCCATTCGTAATTTCTAATAAAACTTGTAAAAAATTTACTCGACTGAATTTTTGAAAAATTTCCATTGCATTATATATTTCTTCGTGTATCTATCGTTTTAATTTCTTTGGTACAAATAAACACACTATAATTGTCGATAGTTCTAGTGTTAAAGATTCGAATAAGACCTTTACCTGTTACGATAGCTCTAAAAATGGCGACACTGGATAAAACACTTCTTCGTACGGGCCTGAGTATGGTCTAAGGCCCTTAGCTGCTCGTATTTCTGTTGAAACGTGCAAACTTTGACACCTCGAGTTTACGACCTCGCTATACCGTGGCCCGCGCTATACATGATACATTACGCAGTCTTCTTTGTATCTTCGTTTCTCATTCATCGTGCACGCTTTAAAACATTGTTTAAATAAATTTTATTTCAGAAATTCCGCATACTTCGGTCTTTTAGAGATTTGTAAGCCAAAACAGGGCGAAACTCTTGTCGTGAGCGGAGCCGCGGGAGCTGTCGGTTCTCATGTCGGTCAAATAGGAAAGGCTGTTCTTGGACTGAATGTCATAGGTATCGCTGGCTCGGACGAGAAGTGTAAATGGCTCGTAAACGAGCTTGGTTTCGATTCCGCCATTAATTACAAGAAAGAAAATATCGCAGTCGCATTGAGGAAAGCTGCGCCAAAGGGAGTCGATTGTTATTTCGACAATGTACGTTGCAGTAGCCTGTCGAGACATACGAATTTTTGTTTTCGATTACGCAATTATAATTAGCATTTTGTTCGTCTTATCGTTATAGGTGGGGGGAGAAATTTCCACCACGGTTATGTATCAGATGAAACCCTTCGGTCGCGTAGCTATATGCGGGAGCATTTCTTCGTACAATTACGACGCCTCGTCTTTGCCGAAAACGATCCTCCTTCAGCCGGCTATTTTGTTCAACCAGTTAAAAGTAGAGGGTTTCATCGTGTCACGTTGGAACGATCGTTGGTCGGAGGGCGTGAGCAAAAATCTTCAGTGGATAAGGGAAGGGAAACTTCGTTACCGCGAAACTGTTACGAGAGGCTTCGAGAATACGTTCGATGCGTTTGTTGGCATGTTGCAGGGCAAAAATATCGGCAAAGCTATCGTTCAGGTTTGAGGAAAAGAGGTATCTGTATATCAATAATAAATTTCTATTGAAATCGTTGACGATACATAGCAAACTACTCGATTATAAGTATCTTGTGTCGAGGCATCTGAAACGAGAATTTGGTAAGCAACGATGAATAAAAAAGTCCGTGATTTATTAATAGGAAATAATGTTTATTATACAGTGTACATATTTATTAACTTCATTTATTTTATTTCTGTTATAAATTTTATATTAATAATTGTATTATGTTTTGCCGAGCGACGAATGCCTTGATCAGTGTGCGCTTAATCTATAACAATCTCCGTAAAAAGTATAGAAACTTCTGCTTTTTATTTTGTTCGTTTATTTGTTTTTCTTTCATTCTGCCCCCGTTATCCATTTCCAGTTGACGCATTTGCCCGCCCCCCCCCCCCACCCCCCCTCCCTCTTTCTCGCTACATTGATTACCATGAATTATACCACCAAAGAGTATCGCCAAAATATGTTGCGCTGAAAACGGCATAATCGTTCGGCATATACAAATAATAGTACGGTCGAAGTTAAAGTAATTGGCGGTTTATGCATCTCCTTTGTTTGTTCATATTTTTTTTTTTTTTTTGTTTTTTTTTCTCGCTTTTTCTTTTTACTCGCCAGTGACGCCACTTCATCCGAAAATGGCGCGTCGCCGCCTTCGGGCCACTGCGGCCGCAATATTCTCAAACCTTTTCATTTCTCGAAATACTTCACCCTAGGATTAGTATTTGTTATCAATTATTTTTATAATATGCATAATAATATAAATAATGTCGTTAATATACCTATAATGATTACCGTTTCTTCTCAACGATAAACTATCTCAATGGTACATTTTCTTTGCTAATGGCCATGTCTGTTATAGCTAATTATATAGTCTGTATGCGAGTTCCAAATGGGATAAGGTACGTCGTACAGAGAACTTTTCGGCTCGGCGTATTTTATTTTCGTTCAAACGTAAGAATAAACGAAAGGAAACGAACCAAGAACAAAGTAGAACTATTCGTCGAATACGGGAACACGTCTGTGGCGTGAAAATACGAACGTCGAGGAACCTTCCTTCGTTTAACGATTCGTGAGAACTTTTTTTTTTTTTAATGAAAATTCTATTCTTATTGTTCGATCTATCGTTATATCATGGACTCTGTCATTTAAACGACCCTTCCATCCGAGGAGAAGATAAGAAAGATATGCTTCTGGAAAATGTTACATAACCGTACAGAGTATAATCTTTAGATTTTACGCGTCAACGATTGAAAGACGACGAAAATTCTTCTTTTTTTTTTCTTTTTCTTTCATCAACGACACTGAAAACTGTTTATCACGATCCTCAACGAAACGTAGGTTCTCTCGAAGTACGCTAAAAAATTCTCTCTTCCATTCTCACTTTCTCTTTCGCTCTAACTCTCACTCGGTCTCTTGTTCTCTTCCTTTCTCTCCTCTCTTACTTCTCACACATGTCACCGTGTTCTAATCTTGATATATAAATGTACGACGTTAGTTCATGACAACCAGACTTCGTGTCGGTGTGTATGTGATTTCATATTATATCTTTTTTTTTTTTCCATTGTTTGTTTGTTCTCGCTTGCTTTTGTTTAATGTATGTATCTAGCTTTCTGACGTAAGTGTTAAGTATAATTATTTTTACTTTTATGTAATGTATTAGTTTTTTTTTTTTTTTGTTATAATAATAATAATAATAATCATCATCATCCCATAATAATCATAATCGATAACCATAATAATACTAATAATAGTAATGTCGACCACCGTCGTGATCATGATCGCGATGATGCCGTTAATTCGTCATATTGATATACATTACATATTTATATTACACGTTCCTTAGGAAAATAATAATCCAAACTGACATGTCATTCGTTCGTGTTGCTATTCCAAATTCTCATCTCACATCCTTGCTCTCTCTTTCTCTCTCTCTCATTCTCTCTCTCTCTCACTCCTCTCCCTTTCCCTCGTTCCTACACCATTCTCGCCCTCTGCCTAGTTTTTTTTTTCCATTTTTCTCCGTTCATAGACTTCTATAACGTAACAATTCTCTATCGCTAGTAGAAGCGGCTGAACTCCTCGCCACTCGGGACGAATTTCGAAACGGAACGCGTCAACTATCAACCAATCGCATCGCGATTCGTCGTAACTTTGATCCACAGCGTTGTGTACGGTCGGCCGTGAAAATTCTTAACATTCGTAACACCGCGACCACCGTTACCGTTCTTTTTAGCGTGCGCTTAAAAATTTTCTTTTTTTTTTTATTTACCGGCTGCTTACCGCGGCCACGGAGACGAACGTCCCGAGACGCCATTTTCGATCACAGCTTCAACGATAATTTTATGGAAACGATTCGCGTAATATCGACCACCGTACCGCGTATTTTTTGTTCCTGTCACGTGGGGTGTGTTCAATGTTGTGAGTTACAATTTCTTTTCTTTTCTCTTTCGTACTCATGGTTATTGAAAAATAATTATTACCGGACCCATTCTCGTCTTCGACGCCTCGGTAAGCCGCATCAACCCTCTCGTTTGATTCACCTCTTTCTAAATACATATACATTATCGAAATATTTCTATAGCCGCGTATGTCTCCGTAAAATTTATCGCGTTGATATGCTAAAACTCTCCCTTTCTGCTTACCATACTACCGTTATAAATTACTTCTTATCTACGCTGTCTCCCGTTTCCCGCTTTTCGCCACAAATTTTCCTTTTTTTTTTCTTTTTTCTTTTTTTGGCCACGTTGTTCTAAACGGCTGTCCCCTTTTCCTCGGTTCACTCACACGTGCACTCGCTTGCAAGCAATCGACCGTTCCATCGACGTCTGCCATTGCAAGCCGTTGACGTCCTCACAGACCACGTTTCGAATACAATAAATCATCTCGCGTTGAACGTAATCGTGTAATGTCAGTAATAGCGACAATACGATAATAATAACGGTATTAGTGGCGATCGTTTACCAATAATAATAATAATATTAATACGCAATAATATTTTGTATGGTGCGACCAATTCATGAATGTAACTTTAATATTATATCGTTAGCGGGGATTAATACTGTTGTACTTACGATAAGTAGCTCGCGTAACGTTCATCTTGCCGTCGTTTTACAAAACTTACTTCGATTACCGTTTCGCGCGTTTCCGCCGCCTCGATACGCGTCACTCGTCTTTTTTCTTTTTCATTTGTTTCCATCGGTTCTTCTCTAACTCACGATGCTTTAGCCTGATCGCGTTCGAATACGGAACCGTTCCAATTTCCTGTGTCGTTCGTTCATACTCGCGCGAAATGGACGAAATACCACGACGAAATCCTACTCGCGTATTTCGTCGACGAAACGCCCGCAACTAGAATCCATTCGATGGTTCGGTTCGAAGCGGAGCTGGGACTATTCTAACAATATTTTATAGGTACTCGGGTACTTGAAACAACCTTCGAACGTTCCTGTTCGAGCATTATTACTCCAACGATTAAACTTAGCACATTGAATCCCTTACGTTTTAAAACAGATTGGAAAGCTTCCAAGTTTTCTAGCCTCTCGTATCATTTCTAATGCATTCATTACCAACGTAGATAGTTTCAAACTAAATAAAATCCGGAGAAAAGCAAAAGATTGTAGTACAAGAGCTCCCTTCGCAAACACGTTTAAATAAAGGAAGAATCGTTTTTAAGCACATTGTCATTCATCAAAATGGATAGGTTGACTAGAGTATCGTTAACAAGATATCACAAATAAGAATAAAGCTTCATTTATAGTTCCACGCTGTTAGAATATTATTAATTCCTCAAATTTGTCAGTAGTTAAGTATTCGAACGTATATGACAATAAAGTGGAATATTCGAATCCCCGTATGGACGAAAGGTTCGCCAAGTAGTCCCAGCTCTGGTTGGATAACAAAATATAGTTGGCCACGTAATCATCGTACGTGACCGTTTATGTACATTAAACTCGCACGATCAGAAAAGAACCGGTGAATCGGGTGATACAATAACTCTGAGAAGCTACGAATCGATAAAAATTGACTTTTAGAAGCGTCGGTCCGCTCGTCGTGACAATTTCTCCGTATTGATAATCGCGGCGTCGAGGGCGAGACGCGTCGTTCGGGGCAAAAAAGGGAGAGGTCGTCCCACAAACGTCACCGCGCGTGCAACGAACGTTTTATTATTATTATTATTTTTTTTTTTTTATTCTTTTCATTATTTTCATGCACTAATATACTTTTAGTACTTCGTTATGTAGAACGTTATGTGTGCACCGGCATGTACGCGCACTCCGTACCGTGTTGCAATTCATCTCTTTTTTTTTTTTCATTACTTCTTTATATACAAATCCGTTCGTGCCTGCGGCCAGACATCGACGAGTCTTCGGAATCGTAAAGCATCATCCTGGACCATGTGATTTCGCCGCGACGTCGTTTACGACGCGATAAGAAAATGTATACTATACTTTTCCGGCGATCCCGAAGACCTCGAGGCCCGCGGATCCGCACGGCCGATGGAATAATCTTGCATTGTATATCGGTGTTTGATTATACTACGCAACGTTTTCGGGCTGGCGCGCGAAAGAACGACCGGGGGGGAGGCCGACGAATACAAAATTTTATTTTTTATTGTATACCACCCTTGAAATCAACAATAAAACTGATTTCGATTTTACGATCTGTATAATATTATCCCTTCTCTGAAGGCAGGAGGATATATCATTTTGCGTGCGTGCGCGCGCGCGAGTGTATGTGTTTTGTGGATGTGGACGTGTGTATACGTGTATAAATTGTAGGTACGTATGCATGCTGGTCAATTTACTTAGTCGAGGTATACGCGTGTACGTGTGTGCATGTACGGTGTTTTTTTCCTGTCTCTAAATGTATCCACTTCGTCTTGCGTCCGCATGATGGTTTTGCTCGTATTTCATCGTCTTTTTTTTTTTTTCCATTTTTCTTTTTTAGCGTGTATTCTCGCGCGTCGATTCCTTAATTCGTTCCCCTATATTTAATATGTAAAAATATACAGGCTAGGTTATAGTCGTAAGTACAGTTAAAAAATCCTACATTTTCTGTTAGCCTCGAGCACGGGATGCAGTCAAGTCGTTCTCGGGGCGATCCAGCGATCAAAAGCGAGCCTTTTTATTATTTTTTTTTTTTTTTTAACACGAGAACGCGAGTGAAACGTCATGCCCGACATCGTCGATCGAATATTTGCTCGACAAAATCGAAATCTTCCAACAGTATATAGGTATATCTTCCCCGACGGATCAATCGTGGCGGAAGAAGACGCGGGAAGCTTTTTTTTTCTTTTTCCCCTTTCTTTCAAACGTACTAAATTAAAATCGTTTCCCATCTTTTCCTGCCTTCCACTCGGAAGAAGACGAACGAACGATGTCTCCTCGTCGTTCAGAATTTCCTACTATGTATATAATCCCTCTAATCAAATCAGTCGAGCACGTTCTAGCGTCGATGGACTCGTTCATATAATACATGACTATTCGTACTCTAACGACTGCAACATCGTATCCGACATTTTCGATAAAAAAAAAAAAAAGAAAAAGAAAGGAAGAAGAAAAGAAAAAACAATGAAAAAGAAAAGGAGAAAATGAAAACATTCGACTCGTATTTATCTTTGGTACATTTGTAACGTCGATCGTGATCGACAACATTTTTCGGACAAATTCTAAACGGTCTTTGACTAGAAACTACTATAGATTTTCTCTCACGCTTTGTGGTCTCTTACTAGATTCGCATCCCTCGCGAGTATCTAATTGCACTGTTATCGAGATCTCAGGGAGCAAGTTGTATAAATCAGTCTCAAAATAAGTTGCACGTCTTTGTCCTATAGAAAAAGTCCTTTATTTTATTTTATTTTTTTTATTTTTTTTTTCATCTATTCGACGAACGACAGCTGCTCGACACGCGTTACTCCTCCGCGCACATCGTTTCGTTTCTCGTGACTGTCGCGATTACTCTGCGAAAGAAGCTAGTGAAATCGATTTATAACAATTGTTACGAATAACTGCTGCGCTCTCTCACCACGTTAAGTGTTTCTTTTTTTCTTTTTTTTTTCTCTCTCCCACTCTCTATCTCTCTTCAAGCGTTAAAAAGCTATCGGGCGAACGTACAACGAAACTCCACATTTTTTTTTTTTTTTTTCTGGACGGTATGATCTGGGCGTGACTATTTTTCCATCTTATTCGGGCAGATGCTCAAACTTATCGCTTAGTATCACGCGTACAT